TGTCCCTGACGCGCCTGGTTGGCAGTTTTACCACCCCACCTCGCGCCGTGTCTTTGCGTCTCAGGACGTCACGTTCGACGAGTCGGTTCCCTTTTACCGTCTCTTCCCCTACCGCACTGCCTCGCTCCCCCCCCCGCCGCTCTTCCTTGCTCCAGGTGCTCCCCAGGTAGACCCCCTCCCCGCTCCTTCAGGTGTTTCTCAGGTAGACCCTCCTCCCTTGACTGCGCCGGTTGAGGTCACTGGTGACTCAGGTCCTCCTGCGAGTGGTCCTGCTCGGGGTGCTGAGCCTGGGGGTGCGGAGCCTGGGGGTGCTGAGTCTGGGGGTACTGAGCCTGAGGGTGCGGAGCTTGAGGGTGTAGAGCCTGGTGGTGCTGAGCCTGCGTGTGAGGGGTCTGGGGGTGCTGAGCTTGGCGGTACTGACGCTGGAGGTTCTGGAGCTACTGAGGGTGCTGGCGCTGGAGGTTCAGGAGCTGCTGGAGGGCCTAGTCCTGGTGGCGCTGGAGCTGGAGGTCCTGGAGCTGTTGAGGGTGCTCGCGCTGGAGGTTCTGGAGTCGCTGGAGGTACTGGTGCTGAGGGTACTGACACCGGAGGTTCTGGAGCCGTTGGGGGTGCGGGCGCTGAGGGTTCAGAGTCTGCTGTTGCGCGGTCTCCTTGGAGTGGCCGCCTTCGTCCCCGTGTGCCTCTCACCCCACAGCAGCTGCAAAACTGGTACGGTCGCCGTCAGCGTCGCGCTGCTGGAGCTCGGAGTCGTGCTGGTCCTTTGTCTACTGGAGGTGCTGGAGTTGCTGGTTCTGGAGGGGCTCGTGCTGGAGACACTGAGGCTGGAGACCCTGGGACTGGAGGTGCTGGCTCTGGGGGTGCTGCTGCTGGAGACGCTGAGGTTGGAGACCCTGGAGCTGGAGGTGCTGGTTCTGGGGGTGCTACTGCTGGAGACCCTGCGGTTGGAGACCCTGGGACTGGAGGTGCTGGTTCTGGGGGTGCTGCTGCTGGAGACACAGAGGTTGGAGACCCTGGGACTCGAGGTGTCGGCTCTGGGCCTGGAGCTTCTGGAGCTGCTGGAGGTACTGGAGCTGCTGGAGGTACTGGAGCTGCTGGAGGCACTGGAGCTGCTGGAGCTGCTGGTTCTGGTGCAGCTGCGCCGACACGACTGTTCTTCGCTCCGCCGTCTCCGTCGTCTCTGCCGCCGTCTGCCTCTGTTCTTCGTCAGGTTCTTACTCTTCCGTCGTCTACTGGTCTTCCGTTACAGACTGGCTCGCCGCTGCCTGCTCCTTCTCCTTACGCTGAGCTGACTGGTAGTCCTGCTGTGCGTCGTGAGCCTGCGTCGCGTCCTGTCTCGCCTGCTCGTCCTGGTCGTACCGGTCCTCGTGTTCCTCGTTCGCGTCCGCCGGCTGTCCCCAGCGCGCACCTCGTAGTCCGTCGTCCTTCCTCTGCTCCGCAGCCTGTTCCTCTGCCGTCTCCTCCTGCGTCCTCTTTGCCTGACGTTCCGGACCCTGCGTCTGACCGGTTTCGTGCTCAGCACCCTACTGTCACGCGTCTACTAGCCACAGTTGTCACTGACCCGTCGTTTGAGTCTGCTGCTGCGTCTGCTCTTGTCGCTGAGCTTGTTGACTTTGCTGCTGCCTGTCGTCTAGACTTCACTGCCAGTCTTGTTACTGAGTCTGAGTCTGTCTGTCCTCCGTCCGTCGGGGGTGAGTGTGCTCTTAGCACGGACGTCCTTGAGGACAGGCAGGAGGAGTTCCAGTGCCTTGCTACTGATTTACCTCATCTTGTGTCCTCGCTACTTGCCCCTGAGGGAGACCCGGATGCACCAGACATCCCGACTCCGCGCTCTTACGCAGAGGCGATAGAGGGTCCCTACTCCTCTCAGTGGCAGGCAGCCATGGACGCAGAGATGGCTTCCTGGAAGTCCACAGGCACCTACGTCGACGAGGTTCCCCCACCTGGGGCGAACATCGTCAGTGGCATGTGGATTTTCAGGGTGAAGCGGCCGCCGGGTTCTCCGCCTGTCTTCAAGGCGCGTTACGTGGCTCGAGGCTTCAGTCAGCGTCAGGGAGTTGACTTCTTCCAGACCTTCTCCCCCACTCCGAAGATGACCACTCTTCGGGTGCTGCTGCACGTTGCTGCTCACCGTGACTACGAGCTTCACTCTCTTGACTTCAGCACAGCTTTCCTGCAGGGCAGCCTGCACGAGGAGATCTGGCTGCGCCGCCCCCCGGGCTTCACTGGGTCGTTCCCTCCTGGTACCCAGTGGAGCCTCCGGCGGCCGGTCTACGGTCTCCGCCAGGCGCCACATGAGTGGCACGACACACTGAGGACTACGCTTGCGGCTCTTGGGTTTGCGCCTTCTACTGCTGACCCGTCACTGTTTCTGCGCACCGACACTTCCCTGCCGCCGTTCTACATCCTCGTGTATGTCGACGACTTGGTTTTTGCCACTGCTGACACTGAGGCTCTCGCCCACGTGAAGTCGGAGCTGCAGAAGAGACACACGTGCACAGACTTGGGTGAGCTGCGCAGCTACCTTGGCTTGCAGATCACCCGAGACAGAGCACGTCGCACCATCACCTTGACTCAGTCACACATGGTGCAGCAGGTCCTTCTGCGCTTCGGCTTCACCTGGTCTTCAGCACAGGCCACTCCTCTGGCTACAGGTCACACGCTCTCAGCTCCACCTTCGGACGAGTCCGTAGAGCCGAGTGGTCCTTACCCAGAGCTAGTAGGCTGCCTCATGTACCTGATGACTTGCACTCGACCTGACCTCGCGTACCCTCTTGGTCTCCTGGCTCGCTACGTGGCTCCTGGTCGGCACCGACCTGAGCACATGGCTGCTGCTAAGAGGGTACTGCGTTACTTGTGCAGCACATCAGGCATGGGGCTAGTGCTTGGAGGGACGAGCCCAGTTGTCCTCACTGGGCACTCAGACGCTTCTTGGGTTGACGACCTGGCTACTCAGCGGTCGTCACAGGGTTACACCTTCAGCCTTGGCTCTGGTTCAGTTTCGTGGCGTTCTACACGCTCGACTTCAGTTCTCGGCTCCAGTTGTGAGGCTGAGATCTACGCCACCGCCATGGCTGCACAGGAGTTACGCTGGCTCACCTACCTGCTGACTGACTTGGGAGAGCAGCCTCGTTCTCCTCCAGTGCTGTACGTTGACAACAAGGCCGCCATTGCCTTGTGTGAGGAGCACAGACTGGAGCACAGAACGAAGCACATTGCTCTGCGGTACTTCCTGGCTCGAGAGTTGCAGCAGCGAGGCCAGCTTCGTCTTCGCCACGTGGCCACTCGGGCCAACACTGCTGACATATTCACCAAGGCACTTCCGTCTGGTGATCATCAGCGCTTTTGTACTTTGTTAGGCCTTGTGCCTACGTTTCCACACTTGCTGTAGTCTCTGCTTGTACTGTGATCTGTACATATATATATATATATATATATATATATATATATATATATATATATATATATATATATATATATATATATATATATATATATATATATATATATATATATATATATATGCATGCTGGCTCTTGCTAGGTAGCCATCACTGTACTGTTATTGCTGCATATATATCTCTGCATGTGAACTGGCCCAGTGGCCCTTTGCTTGTGCTCAGAATGCGTGGTGACGTTGTGATCCACCCTGAGCTTGTTTTGCTTCTCTTGACTGGTCGTGTGACCCCTTGTTCTCCCCCACTTTGCCTATGGGGGTGTGTCAAACTATATGTGCTGCATATTGTCTAGGCTGTAGTGGGGTAGCCCATATGGGGTACAACCTAGTTAGGGTTTACTACTTGTACTCCTGCATCCTGTTAGTTCATTCATTCCTGCTGCTAGATTCTAACACCCTCATCACTCGCGCCCGCCCTCGTCACTCGCGCCTGCCCTCGTCACTCGCGTTAGCCCTCGTCACTCGCTTGCCCGGGATTCCGTGCTTCCCCTCGTCATGCGTTTCCCTTCGTCGCGCGCGTTTCCGCTCGTCGCGCACGCACCTTCTCGTCACACGCGCTTCCGCTCGATGCGCGCTCTCCTTCCCTTGTCACGCGCGTTTCCCCTCGTACCGCACTCCTTCCCGTCACCAGCTCAATCATTCAATCGCAATCTATTGTCCTTTGCTTTCGCAGCTATGTCGCGGATTCTGCTGCTATGGCGCGGATTTCACAGCCGTGGCACGGATGTCGCCACTATGGCGCGGATTTCGCTGCTGTGGCGCGGATTTCGCTGCTATGGCGCGGATTTCGCTGCTGTGGCGCGGATTTCGCTGCTATGGCGCGGATTTTGCTGCTATGGTGCGGATTCTGCTGCCAGTTCGTGAAATAAGCCTGCAGTACGCAGATATCGCTGCCTAGCTGCACGCCGGGCGGCCTAATCGCTGGCCTTGCGGCTAGATTGCGGGATGGTCGGCTAAATACCTGCTCAGCGGCTAGATCGCGGGCTTGGCGGCTAAATCGCGGGCTTGGCGGCAAAAACCGCTGGCTAGGCAGCTACTAGATCGCGGGCTGAACGGCTATATCGCGAGCTGGGCAGCTAAATCACGGGCTGGACGGCTAGATCGTGGGCTCAAGGCGAGGCGTGCTGCGCGTGGATGGGTGGGACGGGAAGACTCAAGGTGAGGGGGACGAGGAGAGGCGCACGTGCTAGTACGGTAGCTTGTTAGAGTAGGTGGCGTTGCTAGTAGCACTGGCGTGACAGTTGAGTTGAATCAGTTTTGCAGTGACTTCTAGTGCAGCCACACTTTCCATGTGCGTCGTATGCGAAACCTTATGATTGGCTGTCCCCCTCTCTTCTTGCGACTCACTTTTCGCTTTGGGTTGTGGGAATCGCAGGTTTGGTATGCACGAAATGTAAAGTTGCTCGCGGATAAATAAAGTTCTCGCCAAAGCAACACAACCGAAATAGGTTTCGAACACCCTCACCTACAGCCTATTTCAAATCCACATAACTTGAAACTTTACCATGCTGACCTCGGGCTTTAAGCTACGGTACGTCAATCTGACGTCAAGCTGCTGCCTGCAACTGCCCAGAAGCGGACTGCTCTCGCAACAAGACGAGTAATTCCTTCGCCTTGTCCCCTGCAGAGCCCTTCGCCTCGCGGGTAACCCTATGCAACGCAGGCACAACCCCTTCGCGACCAATCACCCTCCTCGCCTCCTCATCATGCCTCGCCAGCAGCAGCAGCGCGCTTACAGCTTCCTGCCTGGCTTTCTGCGAAGTCGTTAAATCCAGCACGTCTGCGATTACTTCCAACCCTCCGTTACCGTTCGCGGATTTCGCCTCCTTGATCGCATGCCTACCCATCGAAGAGCACGCAATGAACGAAACTAACGCCATAGCTCGATTCTCCAAATCCTCGTTCGGTTCCTGAACCATATTTAAAAGAATATTCAACCCACCGGTGTTTAAAAACTCCTGTAGCAACTCCCGGTGGTGGTCGCCGCCACTTAGCAAAGCGAGAACCGCCAGCACCGCGTCGATTTTCCCCCGTGAGCTGCCCGACAGGAAAATTTCTACCAGGGCGGGGATGGCTCCAGCCTTCCCGATTCGCAGTTTAATTTCTGCTAGCTGCTCCCGGGCCTTTTGAGCGGCTGCTTCTGCGGAAGGTGTGGATGACTGTGGGGGCATAGTGTCCCGTTTACCCTGCTCCCCATCCGCCGTAGCGTCGGCACCACCGGCTGTAGCATCCGCCGCCCCGGCTGTAGCACCCGCAGCGCCTGCTGTAGCCTCCGTCCTGGCTGTAGCAGCTGCCGGCTCTCCTGCTGTGACAGCCTCTGTTGCTGCTTCTCCTGCCCCGGATGAGGCGTCGGTAAGCCCTGCTGCTGCTTGCGCTGGACCCTCAGGACTGTTGCCGGCACCTGAAAAAACACCTGAGAATTCCCTTGAGTCGTAGGGGGAGCGCATCAGCGCGGTTGATGCCGTGGGGGATTTTAAGCTTGGGGAGGGGGGGATGGACGGGGTGTGTGGCGATGACCTGGCGGATACCGCTGGTGACGTGGAAATAGCGCCGACTGACGTGGATCGGCCCCTGGCCGGGCGCGACGGCGACGGCCCCCTTGACCCCCTTCCGCCTTTCACGTTGCCACTGACGGTCTGAATGCCCCAAGCAAGGCAGAAAAGCGCAGCCGCCGCGTTCTCCCGCGCCGCTGCTTTTTCCGCCCGAAGCGCCTTAACCAGCGCCTCCAGCCCACCCTCCGCGCCGCTAACAATCGCGTCGCGCCCGCCTTCCTCGCGACACACGTTGTACAGAACAGTCACCGCGTGCTCCACCGTGTCGCCGTCAGGCGACTCGGCGACGAGATTAATCAGGAACTGAACCCCGCCGGCTTGAATCAACCGCTTCTTATTCTCCGGTGTCGCCTTAATCGCCGCCCGCACCGCCTTCACCGCGTCGCGGATCGCGGTGACGTCAGCTTGACCAATTGCCGAGATTAGCGGGCCGAGACGGAGGGGCTCGACCGGCGCAGCTGGGGCCGCGGCGCGCTGCGGTGAAGGGGAGCGCGCGTAACGGCCGGAAAAGCTCCCGCTTCCGCCGGGCCCCCTGCGGGGAGGGCGGCGGCCGGGGGTGCTGCTCGCGACGGCGAGCGGGCAGAAAGCGTACATGTCGGCGTTGCTCACGGCGCTCTCCACGCCGTAGCTTTCGGGGCTGCGCTCGAGCGACGCGGAGCGCGGTCCGGAGGAGGAGAGGGGAGGATTAGCCGACGTGAAAGTGTGAGCGTGAGCGTAAATGCCGGTCGCACTTCCAATTGAATCGTCGCGGCGCGAAAACTCATTGCGACGCGATGGTTCGAACCGCGCGGAGAGAGGTGACACGAGAACGGGCGACGCGGCCAGAGGCGACACGGGCCCGTCCACGTGACCGTTGAAACTACGCGAACGAACCTGCATCCCGCCCAGGTTTTCCCGCGCTGCTGGAACCACGCCCGCGCCCTTGCGCGAATCGGTCCCGCGGCTCCCGCCGGCAATGACGCCGCTAGAGCCGCCGCTGCTGCTGCTCCCGCTTGTGATGTTAATTTCCGCGCTGACATTGCGGCTCCCGCTGCTACTGCTGCTGCCGCTGCTGGGGCCAGTAGTGTCGGTTGTGCTGCGTCTAACGTTGGCAGCTTCGGGGAAAGCGCGCAGGTTCGGCGTCGTCTTAGAGAGTGGGGAGAGAGGCAAGGGGGAAGCGGACGGGGACCGGGTGGGGGAGGGGGAAGGGGACGCGGAGGGGGAGGGGGAAGGTGAGAGCGACCCGCGACGTGACGAAGCGGCGAGGGACGCGGAGAGGGGGGAGAACAGCGGGGGGATGCACGACGGCGTGGTGGAAGACGTCGGCGTGCGGGAGAAGGACGCGTTATAGGCGCTTCGAAGCGACGCGAGGTTCTCCTGACTGTTATTATGGCGGTGCGAAGCGAACGACGTTTTTAGCGGCGGCAGACGCGACGCGAACGCGGAGAGAGCGCACGAGACCTGACCCGTCGGGGAGTGCGGTTCGCCGTCGTCGTCCGCGTTTGGCGGCGGAGGAGCCGCGGAGGATGCGGAGGCTTTAATCATCGAGAGCATGATGCCGACAGGGCCGGAAAACGGCGCGCGACGGCGGAAAGGCGACGCGCTTCTCGCGCGGGAGGAACGACCTTTCGATTTGACGGTGCTGCGGCTCCGACTTTCCGCTCGCCCAGTGCGCGCCGTAGATGCCGCCGCCGGTACCGCCGCAGATCGCGATTCAGAAGTGGAATTCGACCGACTCAGGACTCTTGACGGCGACGCGGCCCGCAGAACGCTCGACCACGAACGTCCCTCTCTCCGCGAAGACGATTCGTCGCGAGAACGACTCGTCGTCGTCCAATCCGCGTCCGCGTCGCCGTCGCTAGCCGCATCGTCTTCGTCGCCGTCGTCGTTCGGCCCATGTGCGAAAATGTCGTCGCGCGGAGCCATCGGCGCGCTGTGCAGGGCCCGGCTTCCGCACGGCAGCGTTCGGCTGCGACGAGACTCCGGCTGCGGCGTCGGCGATGTAACAGTTACCGCATCGGTACTCAACGAAACCGTTTCGCGAAACGACGAGCTGGTAGAAAACGAAAACTCGTTTCCCCCGGCGCGGTCCACAGCGGTCCTTTCGCTGCCACTCCGACCCAACACGCGCCCACTCCGTTCCGCCGCGCCCCCGCTCCCGCTCCCCCTCCGCTCTTCCGCTCCGCCGTCATTTCGCGCTTCCGCATCCCCGTCCCAATCTCGCGAGTCCCGCTCTGCGTCGAGCGTCCGCACCTGAAACATGCCCCGCGATCTACTGTTGAAAGACTGCGTCGGACGCGAGCCGGGAGTGAGGGCCTTAGCTAGCGGCGGTCGCGGCGCTGGATTTTTTTGCGCATCTCGTGAACCAGTTGTTGAGTGGATTGGGGAGCGGTAGAATTCGGTGATGGCTGCAGAGGCGTTCCAGTTGCGTTCGTCGACGGCTGAAGATGAGAGGGATGGTGGGACGAAAGGAGTCGCGCTCTTCGGCGAAGAGAGCGCCATGTTTGGGAAGTGTTGAAGACTCTAATCTCAGGCTAATGTCTAAGCTAAGGACACTGATGCTTGGTCTAGAGGTTTGCTCTCAGCAGCGATTGTGGATGAAAGGAGTCAACTAGGCAAATCAGGGAGGTCGTGCTCGAGAATGTTCTATGGCAGGTCCCTTGCATGTGCTGATCTGTCTTGACAGATTTTGTCGCAGTTCGTCAGTCTGGATAATGTTGAGCTGAAATCAATCAAACAATCTAGCTTGGTTAGCCAGGAGTCCTGGGCACTGGATGGCATTCGCGTCTTTTGACTTCGAGCTCGAGTCGACTCCCTCGAGAGAGTGGAGCGGGGGGGAGGAAGGATGAGACGAGGCAAGCGGAATCTGTCAACTGGAATCTGGATGGAATCAGTTGGAAATGGCGAGCATTGCGGCGCTGTCAACAGCTTGCTGGAAGCGCACGATTTTCAAAGTTTCCGCTGTAACCTTGTCGAATAGCAAGCAACGCGGTTGACCTTTGATTGGGTTTCACGGGTTTTTCTGCCAAAGCTGTCGGTTGGCTGGCATTGGTTGGGGAGAACGCCGCTGAAAAATATCTCATGGTGTAATTCTGCTGGTTGAGGCTTTAGAAGTTGGCCATTGAAAGCTTCAAAATTTAGTGGTCACTCTTCGTGTGGTCTTCCAGAACCTGGTTTCCTGTGATGCTTAGATTACCGTACTCTTTCAAGGAGTATGGGAAACGAGGTAGAGATTTCAGGAGGATTAAGTTGCTTCTGAGAAACGGGGTTGCAGCCGCGGACAGGCATACAAATAGTCAAAGGGAGCACCCGTTCCCCAGCCAGGTCTAAAAGAGTCGGCTTTTGATCTGTTTTCCCCCGAACAGCAGGTGGGAAAACAAATGGGAATTACAGCGGATGCAGTCTCTTTCTGGCTTGCAGTCCACCACATGACACTCAACTCGACTCGACAACGCGACAGCATGAAAGAGCGCTGCTGGCTCTGCCCGCCCCACCTAACGAACCAGGCTTCTCGAACGAATCTGGTTTGTACATACATCGCGATTCGCGAGGGATTTTGAGTGGAGGACGAAATGCTGCCGTATGGATGGCAGCCAGGGCTGACGAAGTAAGGGCATTTGCCCTTAATGCCCTGAACATTCCGGGTGAAGTTCAGAGCAGCTCAATCGTTTAAAGTTCTTGATTCGCATGGTGCCCGTGACGTCAAGGGCTCCATTTGGGTCTTCCCCTGAATTGAAGTACTGATTGTGATTTGAAGGACCCCCCGCTCCCTGCACCCCACCCCGACCCCCCTCATCGTATTCACGAGAAAGTGCCGGGTGTGGTGTGGGAGTAGTGGCGAACTGACACACCTTCTCTTAGCAGACGGGTGTACGCTCGATCACGTTAGGCCTAACACCTGAACTTAGTATTTTCCAGTGGCCTCAATACACTCCATTCCAGAGCCCGGATTTCAAGTGCTGGCTTTGGCCCACGCACGTGAAAATACGGGCAAGATTGGGGGCAGCTGAGGCAGCTGATGGCAGCTTTGGCTGCTGGTGCTGCCACAGGCAGGAATGTCCACTTGAGAAACCGCGTGAAGTGAAGGGCGAATACTCGGCCACTGGGGTCCACTTTTCCCGCATGCGACAATCACTGCGATTGGGATATGAAAATGGGGGGATGTGGTTTGAAACCGCAGATCACAGAACTACAAGCAAGCTGGAAAACATTTTAAGACATTGTTTATTATCCATTCACAAGGGAAAACGAAGGCAAACATGCAATCATGTTTGAAAAAACTATGTATCATCGCAACATGAATTATATTTTTTAACTTTTTATCATACTGTTTATAATGACGAAATAACTACATTATTTTCATGTTCAGGGTCTGCATGTTTACAGCTATGGCAAAGACATGTGGACATCTGGTTTTTATCATGTCGCTTGATCGGGATTCGAATGACTCAGTAATGACTCATTACACTGACGCGTCATACAACACGAAGCGCCCGTCGGCGGGGTTCATGTTCTGCTCTGCGACTTTTCCCTCTGCCCCCCCGATTTCGGTCAGGTGAACACTGGTCTGCCGCTTCATCGGCGTCGCGTCGCTGCGCTTCTCAGACATGGAGCCGCGCATCACCCTCACATGCCCGTGGTTTGCCCTCCCGTACCAGATGTCACGGCATGTTCTCTGGTTCCAGCCCGCGACACGGGACACTCGCAAACCAGCCTCGATGTTTCCTCCCTGTCGTTCGTGAACGACGGATACCTCTCGATATTCGCTTGGCTTGTCCAAGAAGCGCATACTTCGCAAATGGAAACAGGGTGACGAGCGTCACCACAGGTTTGGACTTCTCTGTTCCAGATGCCCGAACGATTTCCCAAACCTCTGCCTAGCCTCGCCGCAGACCTGACCCGACTGACTGCGCGTCTCGTCCATCCACACCTCCCGACCTTCACGCCCCTCTGCTCGGTTGGGCGCTGCCGGAGCTCCACAACCAAGCCCAGGGCATCTCGCCTGCTGTCTCCCCAACGAGACCTCCTCGGTTTGGCAGCGCGGCAAACACACTTGCTTCTGCCCGTTTGCTTGCCTGAAGTATGGACAGATGGGGATGATGGCGAGATGACAGACCATCACATCACTTTCGAATCCAGCCCTATGCAGTCTTATCCCATCCCACCTCATCACACCCTAGAGAATCCCTGTTCAAACCCCTCAACCCATCGTCCGAACGAGCGAACCTGAAGGTCCAGGTCGAAGAGATCGCTACACGCGCGTGTGCTATCAGTCGAGCTTCGCCTTGCGCCGTGATGGTCAAATTCGCCTGACTGCGCTTTGAGGCCTTCAGTTGCTCTGAGTTCTAGTCCTCTATCCCCGTTTCTTCCTTCACACACAGCATCTCGCTGTGCCCCTTCCGTAGCGTTTCTGAGAGGAGCTCCTCCATCTCTTTACGGAGTTTTTTCTGCTTGTTACCTTTCGAATCACGAACGTCGCAATCGATGCGATCTAGACCACAGCGTCTCGAAGTCATGTCGCCGTTTATTCGGTCCTCGTGTGTGGCTTTACTCGGACTGCTGCTTCTCCTAGGATCCGTTTGCCACGCGCAGAAAGTCGTCAGGCTCGGGTTTCTGTTGCCTTATCCAGAGGGCGACAGCGCGGTTCCAGAAAGGCTAGCCAACGAATGGTGAGAAATCACACTTCATACACCGCCTGGCTTCTGTTGCCTTTTTCAAACCAACCACGAGCACCCGATTTTTAAACGAAACAGAAGAACATGATGTTCCTCCCGTTGCAATTCAACAACTCATTTTAGTCTGGCTCATTGATCTTTCGACGTTCCAATAATGGCAGGATTTCGGCGGTTCGCGTCGCCATGGAGGTGCTGGCTCCCGACTACGAGGGCGCGTTCCTTGTCGAGCCGTTCGTGAAGAACTCGAGGTGTAACAGCACCGCTGCTGCCGAAGCTGCCACGGTTCGTCCACTTTGCCAGTATTTTTTTTTTCTTGCATGAAGAATAGACACGAGCAAATCACAGAGTAATCGAGGTGCAACAGCGTCGCCGCTGCCGTCGCTTCCACTGCCGCTGCCACGGTCCGTCCAGGATTTGCTGTACCGGTCGTATGGACGAAATAAGGGAAAGAGATACGAAGTGACACACGAGGAGAGGTCAGATAAACTCAACGTTGCGATGCTTGCTGGTCTGCCCTACGGGTCTCACGTATCTGTCACTTGTGCGTGACGCTCTGCCCTCAGGAGCTGCTGGCGGGCGAAGAGACGGGCGTGCTTGAGCCAGCATGCTTGGAGGCGCATTCAAATCAGCCTCAGAACACGCTCACATTTTCGTCTCTTCTCAATCCCTGTTATCTCCATCTGTGCTGATTCAGGAGCTGGTAGCGGGTGGAGTTATGGGCGTGGTGGGGCCGGCGTGCTCCGAGGCGGTTGCCGGAGCCAACACGGTTTTCAAGGAGGCCGGGATTCCGTTCATTTCGTTCGCCGCGACTGCTGACGCGTTCGCCGATGACGTGGCGTTTCCCACGTTCTTCCGCACGGTGTACGCGGACCAGCACCAGGCTCGCGCCATGATCTCTGTGGTGCGTTACACGCAGCTCGTTACAGTCGTAATTTGATTTTGTGATGGCAAACGCCACTCCTTATAATAACGCGTGGTCACAGACGTGCTCGTTGTTTTCCTGGTTCCGTTTGAGTTTCTCTAATATTCTCTGGTTGTTTATGCTTGATTGTTCTCATTGTCGTATTGTGCAGATCAAGTACTTCAACTTCAAGAAGGTCAACCTCTTCCACTCCGCCGAGCTCTACGGGAGATCGCTATCGGGCGTGCTCAAGAGAGCGCTGGGCGACGCGGCGACGCAGATCGAAATCGCGTATCCGGGGACGGACAACCCGGTGGACTACGAGCCCTACTTCGACGGCGTGAAGTTTAACGAGGGCACCATTAACGTGTTCGTCACTCTCCCCAACGTCGCCGAGAACCTCTGGAAGGCCGCCTACAACCTGGTGAGTGCACTGTCGGATTCACTGGTGCCAATAATGATTTCCATAGAGACTTTCCAGAATTGTTAGCGCACAATCCGGCGGAAAATGCCGCGAGAGTCTGGCCGTTTCACACCAATAAACTGTCCATTTCATGAACACTCTCGCTAGACTGTAGAGATACACTAGTTTTGGAGGCTATTTCGTGAACACTATTACCCCTTCACTTAGCTGCTCTGTCTCTTCTCTTCCCTGCGCGCAGAACTACACCAAGTTCCCGTGGTGGTACCTCGGATCCGACGGCGCGGTGGCGTTCGATCTTGTGACGGACGGCGATGAGCTCAACCACCTGACGCACGCGCTGCAGGGCGAGATGGGCGTCGCGCCGTACAGTGAGTATACATTTGTTTTCTATTGCAATTTGAAAGACATTTCCCTGTAAACCTTTTTTCTTAATCTCTGAATCTACTGCATACAACTCCCCTATGTTAACTTTCACAAGACTCACCCACCTCTAAACGTATGTTTTACCTTTGAATTCCTTCCCTGCAGAGGGTAACTACAACCCGCGCAACTCCCCCTTCGTGCGGTTCATGGACTTCTGGAAGGAGAAGTCGCACGAAACGTACCCTGGCCTGCTCAGCCTCGACGTGTCGCCCAGGGTAAGCTACATTGCTACCAGGGAACTCTTGAATCTCATATCTTTCCCTCGCTTGCCCAGGGTGGGATACATCTTTTTCTCTCTTGCACTTATTCTTGCACTTCGGTTCGGCATGCTACATTAGGCTTGCTGAATATGTGCAGCCCATTTTCCGTCGCCTAATATTCCTCCCTCCCTCGCTCTTTCCAACTCTCGCTTTGTTATTTTCTCCAGTACACGGAAGCGCGTGCATACGTCACCAACCTGGTGGATGCCATCTGGGCCTTCTACCAAGCGTTCAACCACATCATCTCCGTCAACAGTAAGTGCTCACAACAAGATTCTTGCCGAAACACTGAGATGTTGCAACACCCATTCATCTCTGCAACTATGCAGTTTGACCTGGTGTCCTTGGATCTTGCCCCTCGCCGATATCCCTCATGCGTTTTCTCTCGCTCCCGCTCGCTCTTGTTCACTCTCGCTCTTGCAGAGGACGATGTGACGTCAGCGGCAGTGATTGACTGCTTCAAGGACAAGCCGTCTGGGTGTCTGCGCTTCAACGGAGCATCAGGCACGATGTCTTTCAACAATGTGACAGGAGAGAGGGACTCGGAGGCTCAGACCCCCCAGTACGGCTTTTACAACCTCATTGACCAGACGTGGAAGGAAAAGAGCAAGTGGGTGCTGAACCAGAAGGACATCAACCCGGACCTGCAGTATGTGCTTCGGCCCGGACCTCTGCCAGCGGGCTGGAGGGACAATCTGACGCTGCAAATGGAGGCTCCTCAGGCGATCATCCCCAAGATGTCAGAGATTGGTGTCGCTGTGACGTACAACCAGATGGAGGTAAGACGCCCCCTGCTGATTAGTTGTTGAGCCATGCAGTGTAATGATGCATCACAGTCACATCACAATATTCAGCCTTGCATCGTGCATGGAAGTGCCACCCTACTGATGTTTTTTCTCCTTCAACGCTGGCTGCCCGTCCTGCAGGCAACCAAGAATGCGCAGAGCGCTAGTTCCAGCAGTGGTGGCAGCAGCAGCGCGGCCAACGCGGGAGCGATTGTGGGGCTGGTGCTGGTGGTGCTGGTGGTGGTGTGCTTCCTGTCCTACTCCGCCTTCTTCCTCTACAAGCGCTACAAGCGCCACCCTGAGCACCAACAGTTTGTGCGCATGCTGTAGAGTTGATACCTCTTGTGTAGCTAGTTACGACTTTAAGGAGGGAGGGGCCCCATTAGTTGATGGAAGGTATACATGGGGTTGCTCCAGTGGCTTATTTGTTTAGTTAGTGCTGAATAATGAAACCACAATGTTTTGGCCTGTTTATTTCCTTAACATACAATTGGGCAACCAATGGTCTGGTTTAGACAATTGTACAGCATAGCTGCTTGTTGAAAGTTGGAAGTGCTGGTTTGCTAAATCGGACATGAGGCATGACAGGAAGTTTATTGACGTATCCCAATCATCAGTACCAACAGTGCTCTTCCAAGTATACCGCAGTATCGATGTTGAAATATGAAATTCTTCACAAGGGCTTTACATAACAGAGAAGCACTACCAACCAAGCTCAAAAGTCAGCTAACAGTGCCTAAACTCCAACGGACACAGGTTGCGGGTTGTTAATTCCTCCTAGGAATGACATGTAGCTGCCAGGTGCAGGGCCTTGGTCGATGAACAAGTCATCAGGCACTCTTAGGGATGCGTGGACGGTGATCGCGACAAGTCCTAGTGTCACACCCGACATAAGGACGGAACCAACTTTTGTCAGGCCGAAGATCACCAGAACTGAGATCGCTATCATGCCCAAAAGCTTCTCAGTTTCGCTCAAGACCCTTCCTCCAATCACCAGCGGCTGGGAGTGAATCATGAAGAGATAGACCCAGGCTGCACCCAGAATTCCGAGCCAGAAAATGGAGACAGGGTTCCAGAGGATGCTGAGAGCGACCATCCCGAGGATGATAGCAAGGTAGTTGGCCTTGAAATACACAATGTTCTTTCGAATCCTGCTGACTGCATCGTTGAAACCCTCGGGTTTGGCAATCTGAGACCTGTCTACTACCTCGGCCCAAGGACGTTGCTGAGCGATCGCTGCTTGAAAGGATTCGGAAACTTTGGCAAGAGAAGCTTTCACAGCCGCAACCTGCGGATTCACAGAAGCTCCCTCAGCACCTTCGACGACGACTTGTGGTTCAGGGGCCATGCCTTCAGAGCAAGACAGGATCGGTCGAAAATTGCACGAACCTACAGCCTTTTTAAGATGACCACGCTGACTTGCTAGGCTATTCAGAGAAGAAGGAAGAGCGATCCAAGGCGCGGAGGAAAGAACTGAAGTCGGCAGTGGAACAAGTTCTAATGGAGGGTAATGCAGAATCTAGCAGCGAAGACCAACAAATTTGAACTGCAGGGATGACGAAAATTGGGCTGCAAGGGGAGGCACACAGCGGAGGCAGGCAGGTGGCGGTGTTCTCTTGGCACAGACACTGGCTAGTAGGTGAAGTTGGTTTGGCAAGGGAGGGCAGGGCAGGCCGTGACGTTCGGGTGATCGCTGATTTGACAGGTGAATTCGTCTGGCTCGTTTCTGGCTTGGTAAAATCGGCGGGATGACCGTTTCGGTGCGGTCAGCCTAGGTGCACCGAAGTCCGGAGAAGTTGTGGCGGGAAACCGGACCTCGGGTTTTGGTTTGCTTTACGTGGTGGGTGGGTCTGTGCCGAAATGACACATCTGTTACCAAAACAAGCGAACTGATTCAACTGCTTCACTGGTCGGGTGAAGTTGGCGAAGAGTTCCAAGACTCGAGCATCGTTCATCTCTGGTGACTAGTCCACACCGTGAATCCCACGGCGCGCAGTGCCGTGCTCGAGGGGAACTGGAAGGAATTTCGTGGTACAGTAGGACCTGAACCTCACTGAAACATCTAAGGACGCGCCCTCGGGGATCCCGTGTCTCATGGGATGATTGAACGGGGCTTCGGGGGGCTACTGGAAGACCAGGTAATTATCTTCGGTAACACTCGCTATAGTACGATTTTGAATGTATTATTATATTCTGGAGGACCTAAACCTCAACTGTGCACTGATATGAACTGCAGTCGACATCGACACATCAGAACGAGCCCTTATAGAACCCTGTTATAACCCCACCTCTCGTTATCAGCCAGGAACCTACTCAACCGCTCGGTGTGTTTGCTCAACCCATTACGATGTTCAGAGCCCTTTCTGAGCAAAAGAGCCTCTCCCTGGGCCACACTTGTAGCACAACATCCGAGTATCCTTCCGTTTTGGAATAATTCGATCGCCAGGGCTAGCGCCGCGCGGTATTTCCTAATAGGTATTGTGCAACTTACGGTTGAAAGCTTGTCTTTTGCAAAGTCCGCAATGGCGGACCTTCGGGCGCAGAACGCCCCGCCAACGTCCGCGGAAACGCGAGTAGGGGGACTTACACTCCCCGCTATGGCGGAGCTGGCGCAAGCCGCGGGGTTCTCATCGGCGCAACCTCCTCGCACGATGTGCTCGCAGTGTCAGCAGGAACCCGCCAAGTACAGGTGTCCTGGGTGTAGTGCTGCCACGTGTAGCGTGCCATGCGTAAAAGCCCACAAGGCGGCGAGCGGATGCACGGGGAAGCGCAACCGCGCGGAGTTTGTTCCTATAACGAAGTTTGACGACAATCAGCTGGTGTCAGGTGTGACTATAAACGAAGGATAATCTAACCATGAACGGGTTAGTAGTGATCGAGATGTGCATACATCAAGGGTTCTGCTGCAGTGTCACTTCTCTCAGCGCCACGGTACGATTCCAGTTCGATCTCGTTATATCCGCGACGATAGCAGGATCTCGTTGCGCGATTCATCCTTGTGTCGTATTCCAAACCCCCAGAACCCAGGGCTAAGCCCCGCAAAACCCCCCTCCTCTCCTTACCCCCTACCCACCCACCACGCGAACCTCGAACTTCAATCGCAGAATTTCGTTGCGTGATTTCTCCTTGTGACCAAATCCCTAGAACCCGAGAGTAAACCCTGGGAAACCCGAAGTATACCTTGAACCCCCCCCCCCCCCCCCTCCTCTTTTCTTTAAATGGCCCCTCCTTTCTCCCCCTTCCCCTCCCCCCCTCTCTCATCAGACCTGCGTTTCCTGGAAGATGCGCTGCTGCAGTATGACGTGGCGAAGCGCACGCGCACGGCTCTTGGGGTGCGCTACGAGGCCCAGGTAGGATAGGAAGCAGCACAGAAGGTTCCTTTACTTTCAGGCAGACTTGCCTCTCAAGCAAGTACGAGTTGCTAAAGAAGTCGCTTAGTTAACAGTTGAGGTGAACGAGAGTGGTTGAGAGGGGTTGAAGGGTTGCAAGTTGCTCGGTGAAGTACGTGTGACTGAAAACGTCTCAAAATCAACGGTCGGTTGCTAAGAATCGGAAGATGCATACTTGCCACCACGACACACACACACACACACACACACACACACACACACACACACACACACATACACATACACACACAGACAGAAGCTCAGGGCCGCGCTCTGACTGACAGTGTTCCTGATCTTTGAAGAATGATCTCTTACCCTCTCAACCGTTCTCGTACACTTTCAACCGTTCTCCAACCCCTCAAAACAAGCACCAGGGGGGAAAGCACTGGGGCCGCATGCAGCAGACAGCCAGGCAGAGGGGCGTGCATCTGCTACCATTGCTTCCCTCAACCGCACTCCACTCCCTCTAATCATGCTCCACTCCGTATGACCATGCTCATATGCTTATATCCCCATAACATACCAGGTGGGAAAGCACTGGGGCCGCATGCAGCAGACAGCCAAGCAGAGGGGCGTGCAGCTACTGCTTATGCCGCCAGGAATGTCCAAGCGGAAAGCCAACAGAACATACTTTCAGCACAGGTATGTGCTGCAACCACAACACGGATTCTACCAAACGTGTCCTCCTTCCTGCCAGTGCTGATGCCACCAGGTATGTCAAAGCACAAGGCCATCCGAACCTGGTTCTGACACAGGTGCCGCTCTGAGCCTATGAAGCCCCACCCCAGACCCCCTTTTATTCATAGACACACCCAGTTTTCCCCCTCTTCCGCCCTCCTCCTCTCCCTCTCTTGCTGTGTTGCCTTCTCATTGGGTTCGGCCAAACACCACCAAGCATGTCAATGGATGCTGGTAAGCTTATGCTGGTTCTGATGCTGGCCCCAACACCAACAGCCATGTGCATGCTAATAACATGTGTTTTTCTGTGAACGTGTCCATATTCATTCATGCCCTCACTGCAGGAAGCGGTGCATCATGTGGCATGTGCGATGGCAGTTTGCGATCCGGTCCATCCGCATGGATCCCAACGACAACAGCCACATAGATGCCAGAGCTAGCAGCCGACACATCAGCAAGGCACAAGACATTGGGACGTGTAACGCCGCCCAGGGCATCACCAGCGATCCGCCAAACACTGCTGTTGCAGCAGGCAGCAGCGGCGTGAACGGCACACCAGCCGATGCAACGAGTTTGGGAGCAGTGTTGCAGCCCCCAACCACCTCCTCCACCTCGCTCTCAACGTTCCTTCTGCCGCACACCATAGATTCGATGTGAGTCACAAAAAAAAGGCCAACGCAACTTCACGAATTCCCGATTATAATTCTTCACATATTGACTTCACCCACTTGTTCGTCCGTCTGCCCATTTCGCCTTAAAACCTGCGGGCAAGCCCTAATTGGTTCAATCTTCCTAAGGTCGGTTGACTGTGACATTGGCACCCAAAATCTTGGCCAATTGCATTGCTCGTCTCAACCAACCAACCTTCCTAGCGTTGAACGTCTTGGCCCACGGGTTTTGATCTCCATTCTTGTTCTTAGATTTTCAGAGGGCAAGCTTGTTGACATAAGGCGTCATCCTCTTGTTGGTTTCATCCGCTTCCCTTTTTGCCTCAATGACTCCATTCCGTTTCTCTTAGAATCTCAGAAGATGAGCCGCTGATAGCAGCAGCTGAAGCAGCCTTAAGACAAGCACTGAAGACCCCAATTGGAGCAGCACACCCACCAGCAGCAGGAGGAGGAGCAGCAGCAGCAGCAGCAACAGCCACTACCACCACGACCACAACAACCACCGGCAGGAGCATCAACAGCAACGGAAGCAACAGCACCACCGGAAGCAGCAGCACCACCGGAAGCAACACCAGCTCCCTCATCGCGGCAATCTTCGCCTCCAGCAGCCTCTTTGGGAGAGGTCTTGCAGCGACTGAGACTGCAGCTAGAAACGCCACCCTCCCAGGTATGGTTTTGCTTTGAGCTTGTCCTTTTTGGTCATGTCACGTCTTTAAACCCTATGGGAGAGGTTTTGCAGTGGCTGAAACTGCAGCTAGAAGCATCTCCCTCCCACGTTTTGCATATGTGCATGTCCTTACGTATATTGCTTTGTGCTTTTTATGTCCCATGGTTCATCTCTGCTTCACACGTCACTTTGACATGGTGTGGGCTCGGTCGAATGACGCTCCCCTCCCTCTGTTCCCTGCAACCCCTTGCTTTTTGCATGAAATGTGGCAGCTTTGTGAGCTCGATACCCAGCAAACCATTTGCACACGGCTTGCAGGGTGCACTATTTGCAGAGCTTGTGGTGGTCCGAGCTTTTTTACTCAACGCATTCGTTCCCTTTTTCCCTGCACCCTCTTCTTTTTTGCATGAAATCTGGCAGTTGTGTGAGCTTGATATCCGGCAAACCCTTCGCACACAGCTTACCGGGCGCACGATTTTAGAATATCCCACCATTAGAGTGTCGTGCTTAGTTGAGGATGGAAGTTCAGACGATGATGAGAGTGATTCTTCTGAGGAAGAAGAGGATGATTCTGATGAGGAGGAAAGCAATGAAGGGAATATGCAGGAGGAAGGCTAGAAGTGTGATTATACAAAATCTTATATCTGATGTATAATTCTCATTGTTCTACAGACGGGCTTGATCAAAACGGGATAACTTTGAGGCTTCTGCGTCATGATATTATCGTGCCGTGGTGGTTCTTCACTGTTCGCTTGCTTCTCATGCGCCCAATCAGCAGGCGGCATACTGCCACGACGCTCTCGGATTGGCTGTTCATCGTGGCTTTTCACGTCTCCTTGAGACCTCCTAGAGGCCAGAATTCAAACCTAAAGCCATGGCCGCAACAAAATAGCGAATCAGAGAAAAAGGCGACGACCTCTGTTTCCGGCCTTCTGCCTATCGTATGAAGTTTAGACAGACTACACAGAGCAGTTACCCACTCTCAGACCACAGATTCGTTGCTGCTCTTGTACCCTCCCGATCCGATCCTCTCATGCTGCATCACTTTTACGTGTACGACGCCGCTTTCGAGGATCCCCAAGAGCCGAGCTTAGGAAACTGGTGGATCCAGTTGGCTGGATATCCGAGATCGCCTTCTCTATTCCATGGGTGTGATTCTCCGGATGCACGCGCATCCGCTTTCCATGGACTCGCGATTCCCGCGAACGGCCACGATCCCTTTACAGACAGCCCTTCCGTCTCCAGGGGAACTTTATGGGTTCTCGCAAAAACGAGGTAAGTCAGCAGTCGGCGCTACGAGAAATCTCTCGCGCAACCCTAACCTAGCACGGCCATCACGCGAAAGGCCATATAAGCTTAGATGGAGCCGCGAAAAGCCAAGGGTATGCTTGTGGCTAGAATTGGCGTCTGCATTGCTACCTCAACTCCAGCCGTTCGTCGCTGCCCCATGCCTCCTCCAACCCGATCCCCTGAAGCTAGCCGACCAATCAAAGCAAAGCGTCTGAGTCAGCCTGGTCGGTGGCCTGTGCCCCTCTGGAGCGGTGCCGGTTTCCACGTTTTATCGTGTCTCACCTTACCTCTCGTCGTCTCGCCTCACGCATTCCGAGCGGCGGCTACATAAGAGTGGATTCGATATGTCGAATTAGCTCAGCTGCGCGAATCCTCCACGCAGTATAGCTTCCTTCGTCTCACGGAAAACCATTCGGGTCGCCGCGGCGCATCCTACTAGGGATGTTAATTCAGGCCTGAGTGTTCCCGAGAAATAGTAATTCGTTCATCTTTAGCTCGTCCACTCGTTCGTTTTATTCAGATTTTGCGACTGTGATTGTTGCTGCTCGTTACAATGGTGGCCCATCAGGAATCTTCTGCCGTCGCCGCTGCGTCCTTCGTGGCCAGCTCTTTCCGAAACGGCGCATCCGCGAATGGCGTGCTGACGAAAAGTCGTGAAAGTGACGGACCTGTGGCGAATGGGGTTACCATCGCCAACGCCGTCGCGAACGTGGAGAACGCGTTTAACGAGTTGAAGAAAACGATCGTGAACGTCGCAGCAGACAGCATCGTTTCTGTCGAGGGGAAGAACAAAGCGGAGGAGGTGATTCAGGAGAAGGAGAAGGAAGCAGAGACAATGGATGAGGAGGAGGATTACGAGGAGGAGGAAGAGGAGTACGAGTATCCAGTTGTGGCGGATGAACCCGATGAAATTGATGCTCGCGACGCGAACACGCCTGACAAGTAAGTCCTTTGCGCTCCCCCTTCTTTGAAACATTCGCTTCAAACATGGCTGCGAGGAGGAGGAAGAGGAGTACGAGTATCCGGTAGTGGCGGATGAACCTGATGAAATTGATTCTCGCGACGCCAACACGCCTGACAAGTACGTCGGATCTGAGCTTGAGGGATGAGTTTGATTTGAATTTTGTTGAGACTCGAGATTGCGTCCTCATCGAGACCCCGAGCTTCGTGATTGAAGGAGGGTCTTTCTTTGCTGCCCCTCGTTTCCCCTTTCCCCCAACCCCCCCTCTCTCAACCCTCTTCCTCCCCCCTGCTTACCCCAGGTGGATATCCCGTCACCCCTCTCTCGTGCGCCTAACCGGAAAGCACCCCTTCAATTGCGAGCCGCCGCTCTCCCGCCTCCTAACTTCTGGCTTAGGCTCGGGCTCCGCCTCGGATTCAGGCTCGGCAGCTCTCCCCTCGCGCTCGGATCCAGCCTCGGGGTTCATCACTCCCGTGCCTCTCCACTACGTTCGGAACCACGGCTACGTGCCGCGCTTGGACTGGTCCACATGGCGAATCGACATCTCCGGTCTAGTCAGCAAGCCTGCCAGCCTATCAATGGCAGATCTCCTCGCGATGCCTTCCAGGAAGCTTCCTGTGCTGCTCGTGTGCGTGGGGAACAGGCGGAAGGAGCAAAACGCGGTGAAGCAGACGATTGGGTTCAGTTGGGGAGCGGGGGCGGCGGCGACGACGGTGTGGAAGGGTGTTCTGCTAAGAGACGTGCTTATAAAGTGCGGCGTTCAGCTAAAAGGGAAGAACGCGGGGAAGTTCGTGTGCTTCGAAGGGGCGGAAACGTTGCCGGGAGGAGGGGGGAGTACTTACGGAACTAGCATGGAATTATGGAGGGTAATGGATCCCGCGAACGAAGTTCTCCTGGCGTACGAGCAAAACGGGCAGGTGCTTTCCCCGGACCACGGGTTCCCGGTCAGGGTAATTATCCCTGGATTTATCGGCGGGCGGATGGTCAAGTGGCTGAAAAAAGTCGAAGTTACCCGGGAGGAATCGCAAAACTACTACCATTTTCACGACAACCGCGTGCTTCCTTCGCACGTGGATGCGGAGACAGCTATGAAAGACGGCTGGTGGCGCAAAAAAGAGTATATCTGCAACGAGCTGGCAATTAACTCTGCCATAGTTAGTCCGGACCATGGGGACGTGGTGGCATTGGAGGGCGGCGCGGGCCGGCAGGTAGTGACGATGAAGGGGTATGCGTATTCGGGCGGCGGCAGGAGGGTGACACGTGTCGAGATCACATTGGACGGCGGGAACACGTGGCGGCTGTGCGATATCACTCACCCCAGCCCTCCCACGCGGTAAGTTCCTCCTTTCACCATCTATATCTTGCCCCACACTCCCCCCCACTTTCCTCCCCCACCCCTCCCTCCCCCCCATCCACTTCCCTGCCCCACCTCTTCCCCCACCTTTCTCTCTCCCTCTCTCCTGTTTTGTTCCTCCCTCGTCCCCTCTCTGCGTCAGGACCTCACCTCTCTTCTCCCTCATCTGTCCCTCTCATACCCTCCCATCCCCTCCCTCCCTTCCCTTCCCCCCACCAGCCACGGCAAGTACTGGACGTGGAGCCTGTGGGCAGCCGAAGTCCCGGTGGTGGGTCTGGTGGGGGTGAGAGAGTGGAACATTTCGACTCATTCTGTGCCTCTCCCATTTTTCCCTTCTCCCCTCTCCCCCCCACCAGGCACGGCAAGCACTGGACGTGGAGCCTGTGGGCGACGGAGGTCCCGGTGGTGGATCTGGTGGGGGTGAAGGAGGTGGCAGTTCGGGCGTGGGACGACGCCACCAACACACAGCCCGATAAGCTGACGTGGAATGTCATGGTGAGTGATGTTTGCTGACGTGGCGTGTCGTGACGAGTGGGGCTTGCTACTGGTCCAATCAATTTTCCCACCTTCCTCCCTGCTCGCTGCATCAACACACGTTCCGCTCTCTGCTCTGCTCTCTTGGCTTTTCCATCTCTCCCCTCTTCCACTTGAAGAGAGGGTATTTTTGAGACGTCTCAAAAATTCCATCTCTCCCCACTTCCTCCTTCCTTTCCCCACGTCTCTTATATCCCTTCTCTCGTCTCTTCGCTCCTTCATCCATCGTCTCCCACTTCCCTCCGCTTCCCCCCCATTACAGGGCATGATGAACAACTGCTGGTTCCGAGTGCGAGAGGCCCCCACGGTGACATACACGACTGAAAACCGCCTCCTTTACCTCTGCCCTCCTCCTTCCCTCTTCCCTCCCCCTGCCCTTCCCAATAGGGCATGATGAACAACTGTTGGTTCCGAGTGCGAGTGGCCCCCACAGTGACCCCAGCGGGCTCCATAGGGCTTCAGTTCATCCACCCAACCCGCCCCGGCAACCTCCCTGGCGGCTGGATGTATGACATGCCAGGGGAAGGGGTGGGGGAGGGCAAGGTAGGGGCAAGCACAGCAGCAGGAGGTTCAACTGCTGCTGTTCTCAAGGCAGCTGATGCTCCTGCTGCTGCTGGTGTTGCTTCTCAGGCGAAGCAAGGCGGCACTCCCGCTCCTGCAGCTTCGCCAGCGGTGGCAGGTTCGGGAGCACGATCCAGTTCGTCCATTCGGAAGATTACGATGGCTGAGATCGAGCGGCACGCAGACGAATCGTCACCGTGGATCGTGGTGCATGGGAGGGTGTATGATTGCACCAAGTTCCTCAAGGACCACCCCGGCGGCAGCGAGAGCATCACTATCAACGCGGGCACGGATGTCACGGAGGAATTTGATGCGATACACTCGGAGAAGGCTAAGAAGATGCTCGAGGAGTACTATATAGGGGATTTGGCTGGGGAAGGCGAGGAGGGTACAGAGATGACTGCTTCAGTGGCAGCTGCTGCTCCTGAGTCTGCTCCTCCTGCTGCTGCAACGCCTGCTCCCACTCCTCTCCCTGTCTCTCCCACTGCCCTCCATCCCACCACACTCGACCCCAAGAAGCGAATCCCCGTGCCTCTCCTCTCCAAGGTCTCCCTCTCTCCAGACGTCCGGCGCTTCAGATTCGCCCTCCCCTCGCCCAATCACATCCTCGGGCTGCCGGTCGGCAAGCACTTGTTTGTTTGTGCCAAGGTGGGCGGCAAACTGGTGATGCGCGCGTACACGCCGACCACCTCAGACGAAGATGGGGTGGGGTATTTCGACCTGGTGGTGAAGATCTATTTCAAGGGGGTAGTTCCACAGTTTCCCGACGGCGGGGTTATGTCACAGCACCTCGAGTCACTATCCATCGGTGACACTATCGAGATTAAGGGCCCCCTGGGGCATATTGAGTATCTCGGGAGGGGAAAGTTCCTGGTAAGTGGGGAGGAGAAGCAGGGGAAGAAGCTGGCTATGCTGGCGGGAGGCACCGGAATTACCCCCATTTATCAGGTGGCAAAAGCGATTCTGGCCGACCCGGAGGATAAGACGGAGATGTGGGTGCTGTTTGGGAACAGGAGTGTAGCGGATGTGCTGCTACAAGACGAAATGGACCAGTGGGTTGAACAGTACCCGGGAAGGTTCCATGTGTGGTACACTGTGTGCGAGCCTGTGCCTGAGGATTGGAAGTATGGGGTTGGGTTTGTCACTGCTGCGATGGCCAATGAGAGGCTGCCACGTGGCGAGGAGGACAGCCTGGCGCTGATGTGTGGCCCTCCGCCTATGATCAGAGCGATGACGCCGCTGCTCGAAGGCATGGGTTACTCGAGCGATCGCATGTTGACATTCTGAGATGGGAATGTGAAGCTTACTCTTCCTGTTGTTTTTCAAGTTGTAATTTAATAAAATTTGCTGTTCCGTGTGGAATGTGTATCAAAGCTGTGTGATAAACAGTAATTCCTGTCTTCACTGCATGCGGGCACCAAAGAAAAGGAGGCTCAGTGGCCCTGCTCGACAGGCAGGCACCTCCTTGGAGCGCTAGGGTTAGGCTAGAGCTAAGAGGTGATTTCGAAGTGGTTTCGGCTACTCCCCCCCCCCCCCCCCCCCCTCCACACAAATCTGAAGCAGCGCCGCCCGAGGTCGGAAGGTGGGGGGGCTGAAAGCGATGTTGCAGCCCCACCTTCCACCATCTTCATCGTGGGCAGTGTATAAATTTTGGGGGAGGGATGGCATTCGCACCAGGGTGAACCAAAGGAAAAAAAAAAACGGGCACTTCTCTCACGCGTCAACAGTGGTTTGGTTGTGGGAGTGTGGGTCAATTTCAGGGCAGAGTTTGGGGAGGCTAGGGCACGGGCTCTGGAGGGAAAAGTTTCGTAGAGTATGGCGTGGGTTTTCCCTCCCGTATGAAACCCTAGCCTAGCTCTTGTGTCAAACATATATGCTGGATATTGTCTAGGCTGTAGTGGGGTAGCCCATATGGGGTACAGCCCAATTAGGGTTTACTACTTGTACTCCTGCATGCTGCTAGTTCATTCATTCCTGCTGCTAGATTCTGACATGGTTTCAGAGCACTAAGGTCCGTAGGACCGTTTTTTTTCGGGCCCACCTACCGCTGCGGTTACCGCGCTACCCCACGTACCTGCCTGCCTTGCCTTGCCTTGTGACGTGCTGCACTATGTGCGCCGTCCAGCAGCCCTAGCGCTGCCTCCTACTGCCCTAGGCCAGCGCACTGCCCCTAGAGGCCCGTAAGGCCCACGCGCCGCCCCTAGAGGCCCGTAAGGCCCGCGCAGCCTGCTGCAGCCGCGCGCAGCCCGCACAGAGCCCGCGCAGCCCGCGCCGAGCCGCGCGCAGCCCGCTGCAGCCGCGCGCAGCCCGCACAGAGCCCACGCAGCCCGCGCCGAGCCGCGCGCAGCCCGCTGCAGCCGCGCGCAGCCCGCACCGAGCCGCGCACAGCCCGCTGCAGCCGCGCGCAGCCCGCAGCTGCCGCGCGCAGCCCGCGTCGAGCCGCGCGCGGCCTGCTACGGCCTCGCGAGAGCCGCGCGCGGCCCGCAACAGCCCGCGCCGAGCCGCGCGCGGCCCGCTACTCCCTAGCGCGGCCGCGCGCGGCCTGCAGCAGCTCCGCGCGCTGTCAGCGCAGTCCGCGCCGAGCCGCGCGCGGCCCTCTGCCTCGGCCACGACCTGCCGCTGATGCGGCCCCGCCCTGCAGCTACCACGGCCCCGACCTGCCGCTGATGCGGCCCCGCTCTGCAGCTGCCACGGCCCCGACCTGCCGCTGACGCGGCCCCACCCTGCTACTGCCGCTGAGACGGCCCCGCCCTGCAGCTGCTTCGGCCCTGCTCTGCAGCCGGTTTTGCGGCCCCGACGCCGCCGCTGTCGTGCGCCTACTCGGCCGCCGCCCGTCGAGCGCCGGCCCTGCTCGCCTGGTGAGCACCTGCCTGCCTGCCTGACGACCTGCCTGTCTGCCTGCCTGCCTGCCGGCCTGGCTGCCTGCCTGCCTGCCGGCCTGCCTGCCTGCGCGACTGCCTGCCTGCCTGCCGGCCTGCCTGCCTGCCTGCCGGCCTGCCTGTCTGTCTGCTTGCCTGCCTGCCTGCCTGCCTGCCTGTCTGCCGGCCTGCCTGCCTGCCTGCCTGCCTGCTTGCCTGCCTGCCTGCCGCGCCTGCCGTGCCCGCGCTACTGCTGCTGCTACTGCTACTGGCAGGTGGCCAGATGCAGCTCCAGCGACGTTCACGCGAGCCTCTGACGCCCCAGCAGCTTAGTGAGTGGTATACTAGCTGGGGTTGTCGCAGTAGCCGTCGTAGCTGTCGCCCTGGAGCTGGTCAGTTGGGAGCGTCTGGCAGTGGCCCGCTACAGCTGCAGGGGCGTCCACGTGAGACACTTACGCCCCGGCAGCTCCAGGAGTGGTACGCTCAGTGTAGCAGGTCTACGCGTACAGTTCGCTGCCCGTACGTCATTCGCACAGGTGCTAGGACTGGTCAGCCTTGTGGGACGCTTGGTCACACACAGTCCCGCTGCTTCGCTCGTCTGAGCGACGACTGGCGCACAGTGTTTGGCGACGAGGCTGAGCTCCCCACCTGGCTGGAGCTGCATGGACAGAGGGTAGATATCTTTGCGCGTGACTATGATGCTATTCTCACTGCCATGTATGCATTGCCTACTAGTGCTGATCGTGCCTGTTCTCTGTGCGTACCGCCTGACCCTGGTGAGGCTGCTGCTCTAGGTGCTAGTGCGTCTCCTGCTCTAGGTGCTGGTGAGGCTGCTGCTCTCGGTGCTAGTACGTCTACTGCTCTAGGTACTGGTGAGGCCGTGGCTTCAGGTGCTGGTGAGTTTGCTCTCTCTGGTACTGCGCCACCTACGGTCTCGCACACCTTCACCCTTGACTCAGGAGCTTCTCGCTCCTTCTTTCGCGACTGCACCACACTCACGCCGCTTAGTCGGCCAGTTCCAGTCTCCCTGGCGGACCCCTCCGGGGGTCCAGTCCTTGCCCACTACTCCACGGTTTTGCCGTGTCCGGCCGTCCCGTCCGGCTCGCTGTCAGGTCTTTACCTCCCCTCGTTCTCTACGAACTTGGTGAGTGGAGCTGACCTCCAGGATCGGGAGGTTGACCAGTTCACTCCTGCGAGTCAGCGAGTGACTCACTGTACGTGTGCTAGGACGGGCCGGCACTTGGCCACGTTCACCCGTGCACCTGGCTCGAGTCTGTACACACTGACCACTGAGTCCCCTCAGGTAGCTGCGTCTGCGTCTACGTCTGGTCAGCTGGCGGCCCCCTGTGAGTGTCGCGCTTTGTCGCACGACACTCTCCTGTGGCACCACCGTCTTGGTCACCCCTCCTTGCCTCGCCTGCGTCGCATGCACTCTCGCTCCCTGGTCTCTGGTCTTCCCAGGTCTCTGCCTGCCCTCCCTCCCTCGCCTGCGCCGCCCTGCATTCCTTGCGTCGAGGGGCGGCAGCGCGCCGCTCCTCACTCCTCCTCGTTTCCTCCCACAGAGGCTCCCCTGCAGACGCTCCACCTGGACGTGTGGGGCCCAGCCCGCATCCAGGGACAGGGCCGCGAGCGGTACTTCCTGCTGGTCGTCGACGACTACACGCGTTACACCACGGTCTTCCCCTTGCAGAGCAAGGGGGACGTCCCTAATGTTTTGATCCCTTGGATCCGCGCTGTTCGTCTCCAGCTCCGCGAGCGGTTCCGGCGGGATTTTCCTGTCCTGCGTCTGCACTCTGACAGAGGTGGTGAGTTCTCCTCTGACCTCTTGGCAGCCTACTGTGCGGAGCACGGCATCACCCAGTCGTTCACGCTTCCAGCCTCTCCACAGCAGAATGGGGTTGCTGAGCGTCGCATTGGCTTAGTCATGGAGGTCGCTCGTACCTCCATGATCCATGCGGCTGCCCCCCATTTCCTGTGGCCGTTTGCGGTCCGGTACGCCGCGCATCAGCTCAACCTCTGGCCCCGTGTCTCCTTGCCGGAGACCTCGCCCACACTGCTGTGGACGGGGAAGGTTGGTGATGCGTCGCGTTTCCGGGTCTGGGGTGCTCGTGCCTTTGTCCGCGATACCACCGCGGACAAGCTCTCCGCCCGCGCTGTTCCCTGTGTCTTCCTTGGCTTTGTCCCTGACGCGCCTGGTTGGCAGTTTTACCATCCCACCTCGCGCCGTGTCTTTGCGTCTCAGGACGTCACGTTCGACGAGTCGGTTCCCTTTTACCGTCTCTTCCCCTACCGCACTGCCCCGCTCCCCCCCCCGCCGCTCTTCCTCGCTCCAGGTGCTCCCCAGGTAGACCCCCTCCCCACTCCTGGTCCTGCTCCTTCAGGTGTTTCTCAGGTAGACCCTCCTCCCTTGACTGCGCCGGTTGAGGTCACTGGTGACTCAGGTCCTACTGAGGGTGGTCCTTCTCGGGGTGCTACTTCTAGGGGTGCTGAGCCTGGGGGTGCGGAGCCTGGGGGTGCTGAGCCTGGGGGTGCTGAGCCTGAGGGTGCGGAGCTTGAGGGTGTGGAGCCTGGTGGTGCTGAGCCTGAGTGTGAGGGGTCTGGGGGTGCTGAGCTTGGCGGTGCTGACGCTGGAGGTTCTGGAGCTACTGAGGGTGCTGGCGCTGGAGGTTCTGGAGCCGCTGGAGGTGCAGGTGCTGAGGGTACTGACACCGGAGGTTCTGGAGCCGTTGGGGGTGCGGGCGCTGAGGGTTCTGAGTCTGCTGTTGCGCGGTCTCCTTGGAGTAGCCGCCTTCGTCCACGTGTGCCTCTCACCCCACAGCAGCTGCAGGACTGGTACGGTCGCCGTCCGCGTCGCGCTGCTGGAGCTAGGAGTGGTGCTGGACCTTTGTCTACTGGAGGTGCTGGAGTCGCTGGTTCTGGAGGTGCTCGTACTGGAGACACTGCGGCTGGAGACCCTGGGACTGGAGGTGCTGGCTCTGGGGGTGCTGCTGCTGGAGACACTGAGGCTGGAGACCCTGGGACTGGAGGTGCTGGTTCTGGGGGTGCTGCTGCTGGAGACACAGAGGGTGGAGACCCTGGGACTGGAGGTGCTGGTTCTGGGGGTGCTGCTGCTGGAGACACTGAGGCTGGAGACCCTGGGACTGGAGGTGCTGGTTCTGGGGGTGCTGCTGCTGGAGACACAGAGGTTGGAGACCCTGGGGCTGGAGGTGTCGGCTCTGGGACTGGAGCTTCTGGAGCTGCTGGAGGTACTGGAGCTGCTGGAGGCACTCGAGCTGCTGGAGCTGCCGCTCCTGGTGCAGCTGCGCCGACACGACGGTTCTTCGCTCCGCCGTCTCCGTCGTCTCTGCCACCGTCTGACTCTGTTCTTCGTCAGGTTCTTACTCTCCCGTCGTCTACTGGTCTTCCGTTACAGCCCGGCTCACCGCTGCCTGCTCCTTCTCCTTACACTGTGCAGACTGGTAGTCCTGCTGAGCGTCGTGAGCCTGCGTCGCGTCCTGTTTCGCCTGTTCGTCCTAGTCGTACCGGTCGTCGTGTTCCTCGTTCGCGTCAGCCGGCTGTCCCCAGCGCACACCTCGTAGTCCGTCGTCCTTCCTCTGCTCCGCAGCCTGTTCCTCTGCCGTCTCCTCCTGCGTCCTCGTTGCCTGACGTTCCGGACCCTGCGTCTGACCGGTTTCGTGCTGAGCACCCTACTGTCACGCGTCTACTAGCCACAGTTGTCACTGACCCGTCGTTTGAGTCTGCTGCTGCGTCTGCTCTTGTCGCTGAGCTTGTTGACTTTGCTGCTGCCTGTCGTCTAGACTTCACTGCCAGTCTTGTTACTGAGTCTGAGTCTGTCTGTCCTCCGTCCGTCGGGGGTGAGTGTGCTCTTAGCACGGACGTCCTTGAGGACAGGCAGGAGGAGTTCCAGTGTCTCGCTGCTGCTTTACCTCATCTTGTGTCCTCGCTACTTGCCCCTGAGGGAGACCCGGATGCACCAGACATCCCGACTCCGCGCTCTTACGCAGAGGCGATAGAGGGTCCCTACTCCTCTCAGTGGCAGGCAGCCATGGACGCAGAGATGGCTTCCTGGAAGTCCACAGGCACCTATGTCGACGAGGTTCCCCCACCTGGGGCGAACATCGTCAGTGGCATGTGGATTTTCAGGGTGAAGCGGCCGCCGGGTTCTCCGCCTGTCTTCAAGGCGCGTTACGTGGCTCGAGGCTTCAGTCAGCGAGAGGGAGTTGACTTCTTCCAGACCTTCTCTCCCACCCCGAAGATGACCACTCTTCGGATGCTGCTGCACGTTGCTGCTCACCGTGACTACGAGCTTCACTCTCTTGACTTCAGCACAGCTTTCTTACAGGGCAGCCTGCACGAGGAGATCTGGCTGCGCCGCCCCCCGGGCTTCACTGGGTCGTTCCCTCCTGGCACCCAGTGGAGCCTCCGGCGGCCGGTCTACGGTCTCCGCCAGGCACCACGTGAGTGGCACGACACACTGAGGACTACGCTTGCGGCTCTTGGGTTTGCGCCTTCTACTGCTGACCCGTCGCTGTTTCTGCGCACCGACACTTCACTGCCGCCGTTCTACATCCTCGTGTACGTCGACGACTTGGTTTTTGCCACTGCTGACACTGAGGCTCTCGCCCACGTGAAGTCGGAGCTGCAGAAGAGACACACGTGCACAGACTTGGGTGAGCTGCGCAGCTACCTTGGCTTGCAGATCACCCGGGACCGAGCACGCCGCACCATCACCTTGACTCAGTCACACATGGTGCAGCAGGTCCTTCAGCGCTTCGGCTTCACCTGGTCTTCAGCACAGGCCACTCCTCTGGCTACAGGTCACACGCTCTCAGCTCCACCTTCGGACGAGTCCGTAGAGCCGAGTGGTCCTTACCCAGAGCTAGTCGGCTGCCTCATGTACCTGATGACTTGCACTCGACCTGACCTCGCGTACCCTCTTGGTCTTCTGGCTCGCTACGTGGCTCCTGGTCGGCACCGACCTGAGCACATGGCTGCTGCTAAGAGGGTACTGCGCTACTTGTGCAGCACATCAGGCATGGGGCTAGTGCTTGGAGGGACGAGCCCAGTTGTCCTCACTGGGCACTCAGACGCTTCTTGGGTTGACGACCTGGCTACTCAGCGGTCGTCACAGGGTTACACCTTCAGCCTTGGCTCTGGTTCAGTTTCGTGGCGTTCTACACGCTCGTCTTCAGTTCTCAGCTCCAGTTGTGAGGCTGAGATCTACGCCACAGCCATGGCTGCACAGGAGTTACGCTGGCTCACCTACCTGCTGACTGACTTGGGAGAGCAGCCTCGTTCTCCTCCAGTGCTGTACGTCGACAACAAGGCCGCCATTGCCTTGTGTGAGGAGCACAGACTGGAGCACAGAACGAAGCACATTGCTCTGCGTTACTTCCTGGCTCGAGAGTTGCAGCAGCGAGGCCAGCTTCGTCTTTGCCACGTGGCCACCCGGGCCAACACTGCTGATATATTCACCAAGGCACTTCCGTCTGGTGATCATCAGCGCTTTTGTACCCTGTTAGGCCTTGTGCCTACGCTTCCACACTTGCTGTAGTTTCTGCTTGTACTGTGATCTATATATATACATGCATGCCTGCTCTTGCTAGGTAGTCATCACTGTACTGTTATTGTTGCATATATATCTCTGCATGTGGACTGGCCTTGTGGCCCTTTGCTTGTGCTCAGAATGTGTGGTGACGTTGAGATCCACCCTGAGCTTGTTTTGCTTCTCTTGACTGGTCGTTTGACCCCTTGTTCTCCCCCACTTTGCCTATGGGGGTGTGTCAAACATATATGCTGGATATTGTCTAGGCTGTAGTGGGGTAGCCCATATGGGGTACAGCCCAATTAGGGTTTACTACTTGTACTCCTGCATGCTGCTAGTTCATTCATTCCTGCTGCTAGATTCTGACATCTTGGCCAACCCCCAATCCGGGGGTTGGAGGGCTGGGCTAGAGGTAGGCTAAAGCCTACGCGCGAGAGAAGGGGCTGGGAACTTTCGGGAGGGCTGAACTTGAAGGGTTAACGTCGAGTTCGACAGGCTCACCCTTAACCCTTCTTGTTAAGGGGCGTTAAAGCCCAGAGACACTAAACTGCGGGCTGACCGCTGAAAAAAATCCTAAATCGAAACAGCGGCGAAAGTGAGGTGGAAGTGTTTGCCTGCCTGTCGAGCAGGGCCAGTAGGAAGAGCTCTGATGCTTCCCGTACTGATGCTGCACCTTCAAGCATTTTCTGGGAAAGGGTACTCCCTTAGCTGATTTCTTTTAGCTGAGACTGTTGCGCGGGGTATTGCTTGTCAGGGGCTATTTTTAGTTTTAGCACACCTTTAACTATCAGGGTGCCAGGGTGACATCACCCTGACTGCCAGGATGGTATTCCCTCCACCCTGTCCACAGAAGGGTAATTTTTTTCGCACACTGATTGTGTAAGGGTGCTTTCTAGAAATTTGCCAAAGTACCTTGTTCAGGGTGTAGCGTGCACTGTTATGGCCATACTATAACTTCTGGACTAATAGCGCGCTTTCGTCATCCTCGTCTCGAGTTCCACGCGTGAGTTTTCGAGTTCTTGAGTTCTACGCGTGATGTGAGTCACAGGTGTGTGTGGAACAGAGGTGAATGACCTGAGACGATTAAACCTGCCTTTCAAGAAGCATACGAAGTCCCTCACAATGCAACACAGATGGCGTGCATGAGGCAGGAGGAGCCACAGGCAGGCAGGCACGTTCAAGTGCAACAAGACAACAAAGTGCTAGCAGCCAAAGATGCCGCCAGTTCGAATGGGAAAGCCAGCAAGAAAAAACAAAACCGTCCACCTGGACAGCACAGGTGGTAAGTGGGCGGAATGCCTTGTTCTGAGAACAGTTGCGCGAGAAACTACAGAACAAGGATTCGGTAAAAGGGTACTTTTCAACCAGCACTGACTGGAAAGTGTAACAAAACACCAACCCTGTCTAATACAGGGTGTAAAAATTGCTACACTTTTTCGGAAAGGGTTGCAAAACAGCTGGCCTTACAAAATCAGGGTGAACGTAAAAAAACGGCTTTCAGAAAGGGGAATCAGGGCAAATCACCCTTGAAAAACTGCCGCTGTTGCTTGTGCGCTCCACTGTGTTGCTGCGCTCAGCTTGTATGATTGTGCGTACACTTATGGTACATTGGAGGAAAAAAACACTTACCTCTTTGTCTACGGCATTTTCTGAACAAAGTTTCCTTTATTCGTTATGGTGCATCTGGAAATTTGTTTGCAGACTGGCTAAAATAAGGAGCACGTAAACTCGGCTTCGTGTAGTTATCACGTCAATACAACGCGTGATGCATTCGAGGAAAATTCAGTACAGCAGCAACACCATCGTTTGGCGCTCCCAGATTTCTCCTCACTCAACAGTTGGGTCACATTATCTTATCACGCGCTTCTGGTAGTCCTACATTTGCGTAATCAAATCAGAATATGCAACCGAGGCCAGACGGATTTAACTTTCTACCATCTTAGTCTCTGGCTGGTTACCACCAGTTTGCTATTTTTCGGAGTATACGTTTTCGTCGCCGCCATCAGGTCGAGAGCCGAGATACAGGATGGCGGATTGGTGGGTGTGGGCATTGGTTGCGATCGCCGTTGTAGTGATATTGTTCGAGATCCTCGCGTGGGCTTGCCGACCGAAGCGAATCTCGTTAAGGGTGAGAGTGTGAGAAAAATGGGCTTAGTAACGCGTACAATGAGTCACCTTTTTGTTGCATCTTTGAAACACTGCCCTTCCTGTTACGCGGAAAGGCTTTAGGGACAAGTGGCAATGCGGCAGCTTGTGCGAACTCTCAAAAGTGCGTGGGAAAGGGAGGGGGGGGGGGGGAGGGAGGTGGGGGTGGTTTTCTGCAGCAGCTTTTGAAAACCCTCGGGATTGCACAGGGGAAGTGGCAGAGATGCAATGAACTCACTTCTGCTCCTTCCGCGTTCCTTCCAACACATCCTACCCACAGGGCAAGGCCGTGCTGATGGTGGGTGGCTCTAGCGGCATAGGGCTGTGCATTGGAGACAATAGGCTCTTCTGGTTCTCTTCCGCTCTTCCCCTCCCTCCACTCTCCTTCTCTCCTCCACCCTCCCATCCCATCCACAGGGCAAGGCCGTGCTGATAGTGGGTGGTTCGAGCGGCATAGGGCTGTGCATAGGAGAACTGGCAGTGCAGCAGGGAGCGAGGGTGGCGGTCGTTGCTCGCAACAAGGAGCGATTGGCCTCAGCACACACGCAGGTGTGCGTTTCAGTCAGGGTGTGCGTCTTGTGTAAGCTTGGTTTCTGCCTAGGCAGGGGGGACTGATGACAGTGCAGGTGGGTGTATGCACGAGTATGATCCAGTCCAGTCCCCACTGCATGTCAGGAGAGGCCTGGAATGAGTCCTCCTCTCGGGGATTTTGAGGCGCCTCAAAAATCATGACAGTGCAGGTGGGGGTGTGCATGAGTATGATCCAGTCCAGTCCCCACTGCATGTTAGGAGCAGCCTGGAATCGGCGGTTACCGCCGGGGTCGTCACATTTCCTGTCTGGAATGCAGGCTTCTCCTCCGGCACGAGTATGATCCAGTCCAGTTCCCACTGCATGTCAGGAGAGGCCTGGAATGAGTCCTCCTCTCGGGGCATCTCATTCCAGTCAGGGAATGTGACGACCCCCTCTCCTGACCTCGCATGACGACCCCCGCTCCTGACCTCCTCTTGAAATGAGACGAGTTTTGAGCCGTCTCAAACCTCTTCTCTGGGCCTCTTCTCCAAGCTTCGCCTTGTTTTCCACCCCCCTGTCTCTCTCCCTCTTTCTCCTTTTCACCCTCCCAGCTGGAGGCCTTGCTTCCACCCGACACGCCCTCGTCCGATTTCCTCCTGTCCGTGGCAGCCGATGCGGCGAATTCGGACGATGCAACGAGAGCCGTCGATCAAGTGGTGGCCGCGTTTGGACGGTTGGATGTGGTGATCTGCTGCCAGGGGCAGAGCACCCCGCATCAATTTGAATTTGACACCGTGGAGAATCAGCAACAGGTGAGTGTGTGCGAGGAGCATGAGCCACTGGGCGCCAGTCTATGTGATTCGATGTGTGCATCAATCTGTGGCAGTAGCCCTGCGTGTTTCCCACTGGCACTGTTCATATATTCCTCTCCGTTTCCCCCTCAGTGCACCCCCCGCCCTCCCCCCCTCCCCCTGCATCCCGCTCCCCCCCTCTCGAGTAGCCCTGCGTGTTTCCCACTGGCACTGTTCATATATTCCTCTCCGTTTCCCCCTCAGTGCACCCCCTTTCACGTGTCTCTTCTCTTCTGCCCCTCAATCCCTGGAGCTCATGAATGTCAACCACTGGGGGTTAGTGTATGTGATTCGGACAGCCTTGCCTCCTCAATTTTTTCCAAGTCTTTTTTCCTCATTACAATTCTCACCCCCTCCCCCGTTCACCCCCCATCAGCTCATGAACGTGATCCAAGCAGCCCCTCTTTGCCTTCTTCAAATATTCCCCTCTTTCCTCCCCTTTTCCCCACCTCCCCCCCTCACCAGCTCATGAACGTCAGCTACTGGGCGTCAGTGTATGTCATCCGAGCAGTCCTGCCAGCATTCAAGAGGGTGCGCAGAGAGGGAAGAATGACAACCCGCATCCCTCTCCCCCGTTCCCCCGCCTCCCCTCCTCCCCACCCCCCCATCAGCTCATGGACGTCAACTACTGGGCGTCAGTGTATGTGATCCGAGCAGCCCTGCCCGCAGTCAAGAGGGCGGACAAGGAGGGGCAGATAACAACCCGCATCCCCCTCCCCTTTTTCTCCCCTTTCCCCCCCATCAGCTCATGAACGTCAACTACTGGGCGTCAGTGTATGTGATCCGAGCAGCCCTGCCTCAACTTGTATCGCAATCCTCACTGTCCATTCCTCATCCTCCCTCCTCCGTCCTTCTTCACCCCTCGCGCCCCCCATCAGCTCATGAACGTCAACTACTGGGCGTCAGTGTATGTGATCCGAGCAGCCCTGCCAGTAGTGAAGAGGGCAGGCAAGGAGGAAAAGATAGCAACCCGCATCCCCCTCCCCCACTTCACCCCCCATCAGCTCATGAACGTCAACTACTGGGCGTCGGTGTATGTGATTCGAGCAGCCCTGCCAGTAGTGAAGAGGGCAGGCAAGGAGGGGCGAATAATGCTGGTGTCGTCACAAGCAGGGCAGGTGAGAGAAGAAGAAGAGGTTATGGAAGAGCCAAACAGCAGCAGCATCATTGATTTGGTTAGGTGATTCGAGCAGCAGCCCTGCCAGCAGCAGCCCTGCCAGCAGTGAAGAGAGCAGGCAAGGAGGGGCGAATAATGCTGGTGTTGTCACAGGCAGGGCAGGTGAGGGGGTGGGGGAAGAGGAGAGCGACGGTAAGAGAAGGGTAACAGAAGGTTGAAATGAAGCAAAGGGGAGGGTAACAGCGGTTCAAGGAATAAGAGCGAGCAGCACTGCCAGCCGTTAAGAGGGTGGGCAGGGAGGGGCGGGTGAGAGAGGCAGTAATAGGCGGGCTGTACCGTGGGCACAAGCATTTTTTAGGCCCCTCAAAAGCTGTACCGTGGGCACGAGCAGCAACAAGCATTTTAAAAGCTGTTTGCTCTACCATCAAGTAACCTCATGCCTTTGCTCCTCTTCCTCCTTTTAGGAGACTTTATGGCTGCGCAGCCCAGCCCATTCAGCCGCCAAATATACACCATGTATGCGCCATAACTCCACATGGCCCCCAGGTGAACATGTAGAGGGCATATACAGCCACGCAGCTTTACTCAACCGCCAAGTCTGGAGCCAACCCAACAGTCACCCCACTTCCATGGCTCAAGGCACCGTTTGTTCCCTCGTTTCTCCTCCCCATTCGCCCTTCCAGGTGGGTATATATGGTTATACTGCTTACTCAGCTGCCAAATTCGCTTTGAGAGGACTGGCAGAGGCGCTTCAAATGGAGCTGGTACATGTGGGGACGCGGGTTGTGATGCTGTTCCCTCCCGACACTGACACGCCTCAGCTGCAGCAAGGTAAGAGACAGGAGCCGAGGGGCAGGTGCAGAGAGCAAGGCGCGATTGCCCTCAGAGGGACACGAGGAGCCTGGAAGGTGCACTGGCAGTGACGATGCAGATGGAGGTGGTGCATGTGGGGACACGCATTGTGATGCTCTTCCCTCCCAACACTGACACGCCTCAGCTGCAGCAAGGTGTGTGGCAGGAGCAAGGTACAGCAAGGTACAGCAAGGTACCCTTGCCTTTAGAGCGACATGAGGGCACTAGCGGACGCACTGGCAGAGGCACTGGCAGAGGCACAGGCAGAGGCACAGGCAGAGGCACAGGCAGATGGAGGTGGAGCATGTGGGGTGATGCTGTTTCCTCCTGACTGCAGCACGCCTCAACTGCAGCACGCCTCAACTGCAGCACGCCTCAACTGCAGCACGCCTCAACTGCAGCACGCCTCAACTGCAGCACGCCTCAACTGCAGCATGCCTCAACTGCAGCATGCCTCAACTGCAGCACGCCTCAACTGCAGCACGCCTCAACTGCAGCACGCCTCAACTGCAGCACGCCTCAACTGCAGCACGCCTCAACTGCAGCACGCCTCAACTGCAGCACGCCTCAACTGCAGCACGCCTCAACTGCAGCACGCCTCAACTGCAGCATGCCTCAACTGCAGCATGCCTCAACTGCAGCACGCCTCAACTGCAGCACGCCTCAACTGCAGCACGCCTCAACTGCAGCACGCCTCAACTGCAGCACGCCTCAACTGCAGCACGCCTCAACTGCAGCACGCCTCAACTGCAGCACGCCTCAACTGCAGCACGCCTCAACTGCAGCACGCCTCAACTGCAGCACGCCTTAACTGCAGCAAGGTCCGGTTTTCCTGAAAGGAAGCTGAGGGTCCTGGCAGGGGTATGGCAGTGGCACTTCAGATGGAGTTGGTGCATGTGGGGACGCGGGTGGCGATGCAGTTCCCTCCTCCCTGTTCCTCACCCCTCCCAACCTCCCAGAGACCGAGACCAAGCCTGCAGTCACCAAGGCCATCACAGCAGGCAGCAAGCCCTTCCCTCCCATGGCAGTCGCGAGAGTAGTGGGAGCTGCAATCCCTCTCCCCCCCGCCACCCCTTTCCCTATTCAGGGAATGAGACCAAGCCTGCAGTCACCAAGGCCGTCACAGCAGGCAGCAAGCCCTTCCCTCTGGTGAGAGTGATGGAAGGGAGGGAAGGCGCTGCACTCTCATCTCAACAACCCCGCCTCCACTCCAATCCCCTCTCTTCCCCATCCGCCCTCCCCTTCATCCAGAGAACGAGACCAAGCCTGCAGTCACCAAGGCCATCACACAAGGCAACAAGCCCTTCCCCCCTATGGCGGTCGCGAGAGCTGCGATCTCAGCCGTTGAACGCGGAGATTTCCTCGCTCCCGTCGGATTCGACGGCTGGATGCTCAGCATCGCCACTGCGGGTGAGTCAGCTGCCCGCTGCTCTTCTGGATGGTTTTTTGTTCCCCTGCCCCTCATTCCCCCCACTACCTTCCACTGTCCACATACCATTCCCCGCTTGTTTCTCTCCATCCTCCTTATAGGCATTGCTCCCTGTACGTCACTGAACAATATCAGATTATTTTCCACTTCTTCCCCACCCCACTCCCCTCCTCCCCCCTCTCTGCCAACCACCCTTTTCTTCTTTCTTGCCCATCCTCGTTATAGGCATGTCCCCCTGTGTATCGCTCAACAAGCTCTTTCTGGAGCTGCTTCTAGCGGGGCCGTTGAGGCTGGTGGCAGCAGCAACAGTGGCGGGCTTTAATGCGAGTGCAAGGAGGTGGCATAGAATTAACCACGGCAGAGGAACGTGAGTGTGCTCTTTCACGGTATTTCTTTTTTGGAGAAGGGGGTTGGGGGGGAAGGGATTTACTTTTTTTTTTTTTGTTTCAAGGCACTCCCAAGGCTCTAGCTAACTGTTCCCTGTGCTACCTTTCCCTGCTAGCCCTGTGGAAGGAAGTTCCGTAGTTCAAGGGAAGCATGTTTTCGGCATTAGGTGTGAGGTCCATGTGTTTGGAAGATTTGTGGTTCCAGACTATGTTGATTGCAACCAAGAGAATGTACGGTGTCGTTGTTGCTTTGCATGCTCGTTTTTCCCCTTTCTTTTCTTTCAGCATGCCGCGCAAGTGAATATTGTCGGCATCAAGCATTGAAGGGAATGTTTGCAGCGCTTTCATAACCTTTTTTTGCTCGTTCTTCGTATATACATGTATGGCATTGCATGGGCAGGCATGAAGATCACAAGAAAGCATGTTAGCATTCTTTTCTCTCGAAATATGTACGCTGCTCTCATCTATAGTCGCACAAGTCACCAATCAAGTGTGGTTGGCTACGTAACCTCAAGCTTGTCCATAACCAGTCGCTTCGTTTCGTATATATTACTGTAACAGTTGCCTCCTGCGTAAGTGGCTTCTATTGGTCGCTCCTGCTTTCGCACAGCTCAGACTAATAAGCGCGCAATTCCCCACGCATGACCTTCGCTCGGAGGCAGCAGCCGCCACAAGCACGAACTGCAGCAGCTGATTGGGCGGAGCTGCTGACTCCACAGCGGCACCGCGACTGTGAAGGGGAGAACCAAGCGAATGTGTGGCTCACAGAGTGCCCAGGCGCCCTCAGCAAAACACCCGACCCGAGCCAAGAGGCGCGCGGAACACCCGAGGGGCAAACCTCCATCCAACCTCGGTTCGGGTTCAAGAAAATATGTTTTCAGTCCAGCCTAGCCCAGCAGTCGGAGCTCTTGGCGGCAGCAAATCGCGTCTGCCTGCAATTCTTATGGAGGGACAACCACTCATCGCCAGATTTTTAGGTCAGATTCATGCCTCGATTCTTCATCCCCATATTCCCGCACTTTGAGCTAGGGCCAGCGTCTCGGCTCGTCTCGTCATCCACCCCCATCCATTTGCTTGCTTTCCTGATCCACCACTGCACTCTCTCGCCAATTTCCTTCCACCACCAATTGCTCTGTTCATGCTGCTGTTCGGCACTTCCAAGGGACACTCTCAACGGTTGAACCATTCGCTGAGGTAGGAGCTTAGTTCTGTACCTGATTCTCTGCTATGCAAAGCTTACAATAGACGACTAAGAACGTAGCACAAGGGAGGGAGCTTTCCCCGCTGTGCATCGGACCCAGGAAACGACTTTTGTAATAAAACCAACACTTAAATAGACAACTTACTAAGGTAGTCATTCGCTGAAAAGCGTGTCAGCGGAATTCGCACACGTATGCATTGAGACAGTATCCGTCTGCGTTTCCCTCTCCGTCGGTTGCTTCGGTAACATCCGTCTCTTCCTTCCTCTCTGAGCAGTCTCGTGCCGCCGACACGAACTGATTCTGAAGCCTTCAATTGAACATAACCGAACCGCTCGCGTCGAGCATAAGGTTTCTTCCGTCGAGGCGCGTAGCCATGGCATGCGGCGTTCATCTCCGACCGTTGCGATTGGCCCCAGCGACAAGAACAATGACAGCACCAGTCGCAGCAACTCCCGCATCATTACAACCACCTCGCTCCACAATCGCTCTTCAAGAATGTCGTAAAGTTGCCGCTGCCCGCGCTTCGGTTTCTAAGAGGCATACTTATTCCTCGACACGAGATTGCCTCTCTGCACAAGCTTGTAGCTCTAGCAGATTTCACGTCGGTTCTTCCCGCCGAATCGCTTTGAGCGACACCAGACATTCGTTCGCCAAGCTCGGCGCGACACGCGTTCGAGCTCAAGGTCCCACCACCGCCGCCGCCGCCGCCGGCGCGGGCGCCGCGGGAGCGTCCGATTTCTCAGAGGTGTGTTTTTGTCTGCTGCGTCGTTTATCCAGAGCAGCTGAGTCGAAAATGCCCGTAGTTTTGGAGTTTACCTACTGGTTGGTCCCTGCGCCCCTTGCTGCCGAGTTTTCCGCTACTTAAGGTTCTTGATAAGCACTCTCATTAGTCTCCCTAATTTATATCTTGTCTAATTTTCCAAACTCTACGTTCCCCTTCCTCGCCCCTCTCCATACACCCTCCTCCCCTCTCCCCCGATCCCCCTACCCTCTTCGCGCCTCCTTTCGTCCACCATTTCCCCCTCCCTCCCCACTCTCTTCCCCATCGTCGCCCTCCTGCCTTCCGCGCGCCGACGCGCGCTCCGCCAGCTCGCCGCGGCCATTCCGCAACCTGCGCCGCCAGAAGCGGAGAAGAAGCAGCCAATCAGCGACCTCGTGTGGCCCGCTGTCGGTGAGTGGGGATGCGCTGGTGTCTGTCCACCGGGTTTGGGATGTTGGTGGGGCACTGGGATCGTCCCCGGATGAGTGAGGGAGGGCTACAGGCACGGCCTGGGGGGTTATGGGTGTGCTACCCACCATACAAACATGCCCTTTTAACCCAGTCGGTAGCAGGCTGGGCCAACATGGGAATGGGGTGGAGTGGGTTGCGGTGGGGTGGAGCGGGTTTGGGGTGGGTTGGGTTGGGTTGGTTGGGTTGGGATGGGCTGGGTTGGGTTGGGTGGTCGGTCCAACACCCCGTGCCACCTCCATTCCATTACGTCCGCTCCCATCCCATCCCACCCCTTCCCAGCCCATCCCTGCCCATCCCATCCCCTGTCCCCCCCCCTTTCCTCCTCTCTTCCGTACTCCTTCCCATCTCAATGCACCGTTCCCCACTCCTCCCTCGCCCGTCTCATACCGCTGGACGCTTTCGTTTCCTTGGCAAGGCTCGCCTTATCGATTCTTAGGATGCTTCAATAGCATCCGTCTTCCCTGCTGCTGCTTTTCTTGTCATCCATCTCACTGCACCGCATCCCACTCCTCTCTCGTCCGTCTCATGCCTCTAGACCCCTTCGTTTTGGCCATGCTCGCTTTAGCGATTCTTAGGACGCTTCAATATCTTCCGTCTTCCCTGCTGCTGCGTTTCTTTTCCTCCTTGCCGTCTCCCTTGTTTCCCGGCTCATGTCAATCATCTCACAGTCTCTCTCTCGTTCCTCCCTCCTTCCTTCCTCGCTCTTCCTTCTTTCTTCCCCCTTCTGCCTCCTCATACCGCCAGGTGCATTCGTGTCCTTTGCGGGATTCGCGCTAGCAGACCATCTCTTACAGTCACACGGCCTCACAGTTTCCCTCGGTTCCTTTGGTGCTGTCTGCTGCCTTCTCTTCGCCCTACCGCAAGCACCAGTCTCTCAGGTGAATACTCAGCCATCTTTCAGGTTATTCTTCAGGTATTTTCTGCTTGTCTGCTGCCTCCTCTTCGCCCTGCCGCAAGCACCCGTCTCCCAGGTAAAAACTCAGCCTTCAGGTGACTCTCTTTAGGTGACTCTCTTTAGGTCAGGTTTTGTTCAGGTGGTTTTGCTGCCTCCTCTTCGCCCTGCCGCAGTCACCCGTCTCCCAGGTAAGCACCTCCAGGCTCCAGTTCTCAGGTGAACGTTCAGGTGTTTTCAACTGTTTGCTTCTTCCTCTTCGCCCTGCTGCAAGCACCTGTCTGTCTCCTAGGTGAGTGCGCATCCGTGCTAAATCAGGCTGCGCAAAACCTCTATCACGTTAGAGCTAAATCAGGCCTATATTTAGGTGCTGTCCAGTTTTGGGGCGCCTCAAAACTAGAGCTAAATCAGGCTATATTTATTTAGGTGCTATCCATCCACAGCGCAAGAGCATCCTGATAGCCCACCTGGGAACGGCCCTCATAGGATTTAAGCGGTGCTCTTCTGCCTGATGGGGCCTTGACCCCATTTTCGCTCCCATTCACCTCTCTGTTTCCTCTCCATTTCTCCTCACCCCCGCCTCTCAGCGCAAGTCCATCCTGATAGCCCATCTGGGAACGGCCCTCATAGGAGTGGCGCTCTTCTGCCTGCTGGGATCTTCACTCTTCTCCTTCACTCCCTTCCCCCCTCACTTTCCTCCCCCCCCCCCCCCCCCCCCCATTTCTCCCCCCCACAGCGCAAGACCATCCTGATCGCCCACATTGGAACGGCCCTCATAGGAGTGGCGCTATTTTGCCTGCTGGGAGCGTCGTGGCTCGCCAAGGCCATGGCTGTTGCTGCATCCATCACTTTCATGCAATGCACCAACTCCGTCCACCCCCCTGGTTCGTTATTAGCTGCCTCTGTACTCATTATAAACATGCTTTTGTACTCTTCATAAGCATGTGTTTGCGGTATATGTTGGCTTGCTAAAGCTGCAGCAGTTGCTGCCTCAATCGCGTTCATGCATGCACCCGTCCACCCCCCGGGTGCGTTATAAGCATTATTCTGTATTCGTTAAAGCATTCATCTGTGCTCATTGTAAGCATGTGTGGTATATATTGGCTTGCTAAAGCTACAGCAGTTGCTGCCTCTATCGCTTTCATGCAGTGCACTGCCTATTTCCACCCCCTGGAGCGTTATGAGCAGTACGTTCATTTTCCTTGTCGTTACCCAGCCACCCAGCTCATAAGCTCGCAATCATTCCCCTTGAATTAATCAGGCTTTGCTCACTCAATTAAAAACACCCGCCCTTGCAGGACCTTGCAACTGCCTCACTCCATGTTCGCTGCTGGTTTGCCTTGTATCCCCTTAATCCTTCTCCCCTTCCCCCACCCCAATCTCTGCCCTGTATCCCCATATCCCCACCACAGCTGCAGGCCTTCCACTCATTTTCCTGGACGCCCCCAAATTCCATCGCCTCAAATTGTGGTATCCACCCTTGTGGTATCTTACAGCCAACCCTTATATCCCATCCTCCCTTCCCCACCCCCCCCCAACCCCCCCCCGTCCTCCCCCACTCCCAGCTGCTGGACTTCCGCTGATCTTCCTCGACGCCCCCAAATTCCATCGCCTCAAATGGTGGTATCCACTCTTCCCAGGCCTAGTGGGCTGCCTATGGCTATTCCTCGTGGTGAGTTGAACCTTTTGTTACATGTGCTCGATTTCAAGAGCCCAATAACCTTATTTCAGTTGCTACAAGAAAGAAACTCTTATGTTGCACGGATCTCTCCATGCTATTGTGCACTGATTCCTGCATTGTCTGCTGATGTGTGCGCAGCAAGAGGGGATCCTTTTTCTGAAAGAGAAGGTGAAATTCTAATGCTGTGGTTTCATATGTTGACAAGTAGCATGTATGATATTTGTAAGATGATGAGTATTTGATATGTCCAGTTGACGAAGATGGGTGGAAACTGCATTCTGCTATGAATATTCAACAGCATACATATTTGCATTACGAATATGCATGTAGTGTTTTAATGCGCTGGGGACGATTCTGTTCTTCAATGGCTGAGATCGCATTTCAGACCTTGTAACGACAAACTTGTCAGAATTGCATTGTTATAACTGCATGTAGTTCTAGTGTTAGTGTAGCTATCATAACATCCTGCTTGGTGGTATGCCCCTTTCCTGTCTTATTTGTACCCTTGGCCCTATAGTGAAACCCCCTTCTTCTCGTCACTCATCCGTCTCGCTACTTTCCTAGGCTCTTAGCCTAGCCTACTATCTTGACATGGTATCAGGGTACATTCCGCTGTGGACAGCGTCCCAATCGATTCTACCGCACTGCATCTTATTACACCGAATTACACCCTAGTTTCAAAATTTTCGCTTCTCTGGTTTAAGTCGGTTCTGAGCGGTACACCCGATTGGGACATGTACGATTGGGACATGTCCACAGCGGAATGTACCCTCAGAGCTGGTTTTTTCCTAGAACCTTCTCTTTTTTTTTAAGTGACATGGGCCCGCCCTCCCTACAGCGCGAAATGCGCTACTTTTTTCTTCGTCCCGTCGCGTCCGTCGTCCCGCAGCCTCCGTTTCGTCGCCCCGCGGCCCCCCCGTTTCGTCGCCCCGCGCCCCCCCGTTCCGTCGTCCCGCGCCCCCCCGTTCACTGTCGACGCGGACGCCGACGCCAGCAGGCGCCGGCGACGAGCGCCAACGCCAGCGCCAGCGCCAGCAGCCCACGCCAGCGCCGGCCGCGGGTGATGCCGCCCTTCCCACCCGCCCTCCCTTACTCTCCTCCCGTCGTGGAGGGTGGGGGGGGGGGGATGTGGGGGGGGCGGGTGTAAGGAGCCAGCACATCCTCCCTCCCTTCCCTCTTACTCTCTCCCTGCAGCACTTGTTGCTGTAGGAGAGGGGGGGGGGGGGAATGAGAGATGGTAAGGGAGGGTAAGAGAGAGTGAAGGAACAAGCAGCCATGCATCTGCAGATGCCGCCCACTACTACTGTGGCACCTACAGCTGCAGCCCCTGACGCCTCGTTCGTCTTCTTTGCTGTTGAGCTGCAAACTAGATGTGCCACAACACTTTGTCTTCTTTCTCTCTTTCTTGCCTCAGGGCTTGCTGCAGCTGTCTCTGCCACCACTGGTTGTCATTGCTCTTGCGTGCTACTGCTTTGAGTACACTTGCAGGTTGTGATTTGCACTTTGCTATTCCTGCATGCAGTTAAGGGGGGATGTCAGAATTGCATTGTTATAACTGCATGTAGTTCTAGTGTTAGTGTAGCTATCATAACATCCTGTAGCTATTCCTTGGCGCTTATATCATGGCAAAAATGATTTTGTGATTTTAAAGTACCAAATCGAAGCCCGCAGTAAGGCGAACACAATTGTGTAACGTGCGCATAAGATAATGCACGAAATCCCGCCGAAAACTGCCGCGCTTCGATTCCCGACCGCACAAACCCCGTCCAGGAGCAGGGAATCTGCCAGCGCTGACGTGAATGTTGCCATGCGGCCCAATTAGGCTATCATGCGGTGGCAGGCAGCTGCATTTCACCCGAACCATCGAGAAGGCGGTGGAATGACCTGCCAGCGCATCATGTTCGTGCCACGATACCCTCCTCTCCGGGTTCAGACAGGGGGTACCCGTCTCGCCCCGACGAGGACCCCGAGGCGCAAACCAGCAGGGGTCCCTTTGAATCTCTCATTTGTGCACCGTCTTTCTCAGTTTCTTGTTCAGTTTCTTGGTCACTCCCGCCTGGCTGCGGAAGCCATGGCGGAATTCAGCGGCACCCACTTCTTGTTCAAGAAAAAGCCTACTCGAAGGCCCGCGTTTACAGTAGACGCTGACGGGTGGTGCACCCGTATCCCGCCAGAACCACCAGAGCCACCACAGCCTCTTGTGCCTCCTGCGCCTCCTGCACCTCCTGCTCCTCCTTCGCCTCCTGCGCCTCCTGTTCCTCCTTCGTGTTTCGTGCAGATGTTGTCGTTGCTTGCCACGAGAACGGGTGGATGGACTCTACGGGCGTCGTTCGCTGGCTTGAGGAGGGCGTCAAGCCTTTCTTGAAGCCTCGGTTCGGCAGACACGCCAAGAGCTCGATGCTGGTGCTGGATTCTTACCGCGGTCACCTCACCGAGGAGGTCAAGGAGAAGCTCCGCGAGATGAACTGCGTGCCGGCTGTCATCCCGTCGGGCTGTACGGCGGAGGTACAGCCGCTCGATGTCTCCATCAACAAGAGCTTAAGGCGTCGGTCCGCCAGCAGTACCAGAGGTGGTTTGAGGCTGAGGGGCAAGCGCAGCTGACCGCGGCAGGTATGGCATGAGTACGGTTTTGTTCTACTCCCCCCCCCCCCCCCCCCCCCCCCCCCCCCCCCCCCCCCCCCCCCCCCCCCCCGAGTTTTTTTTATGCACTAACGGCTTTCCACCGTTCGCCTGTTACCGTATGTCTCAGGGAATTTGAAGAAGCCTCCAGCTGAGGTCGTCCTGCGGTGGATATCTCAGGCCTGGCGGGCAGTGCCGTCCGACCTCATCACGCGCGCCTTCCTCACCTGTGGCATCAGCAACGCGCTCGACGGCAGCGAGGACAACCTCGCCATGGCGCACAGGCGGACCCAGCTGACAGCGGAGGTGGATGTCGACGATGACATCATCGCTGATGGTTTTTTTGGCAGGAGCCCGAATCTGACGAAGAGGAGTAGGAGGGGTACTGGCTGATGCATGTTAGGTAGAATTACACTGGCTAGACTAGTTGTTAGAGGTTAGCAACATGATGTTGTAGTTGCTAAGAAAAATAGGCAGTTTAGTGAAATCGTTTGTAATGCCTCCCATGTAAGGTTAACGGATGCGCTTATAATAAGGATAAGAATTTTCAGGGGGTGCGCTTATAATCGAGTTCCGGCCATAGGCGCCATGCTCCAGATAGAGGCGCCGGCGCCGTTAATCGGACGGCGCCTATATCCGGGGCCATACGGTAACTATGCATGTGAACTGGCCATGTGGCCTTTGTGCTTGTGCTCGGAATGTGTGGTGACTTTGTGATCCACCCTGGGCTTGCTTTGCTTGTCTGTGACTACTTGTGCTCCCCCACCTTGCCTATGTTCGTTCATTCGTGCTGCTCATTCTGACAGTTACGAGGTTTTGGTCGTCAACAATCGCCCAGAGTAGCAGAAAGTCGCAAGGCAGTCGCTTGTTACGAAGTTGCTTGTTCGGAAGTTGTCCGAAATGCCTTGGCCCTGATCGGTAGCACCCTTAAGCGGAGTCAGTGAGCTTCGAGGGAGTTCACTGACTCCAGCTTCGCACGTGTGCGGAAGTTTACTCAATCCGACGTGGCTTATTCCGAGTAAGTCAGAATGGGCGAACGATCGCCCGAACACCCTACTCGGAGTACCACTCGAAGTGGCCATTCAGGAAGGTTCCTTCACGGGCAAACTTAGTTCCGCGGCGGAACTCCGCTTACTATGGATTTTTTGGAGAGTAAGCCTCTCTTACTCGGAGTAAGGCCTTGAAGGGTGAACCCAGAAAAACCGCAGACTTTCTTTTATGTTTTGCGGGGACACCCTCCTCAAACATCTTGAAAACTTCCCATTTCCCCCATACCTAGTGGTTCTTGTACATGTCATTTTGTGGCCCAGTTACCCCTTTGTGAGAACAAATTTTCTTGGTGACGAATGGGGCAGTCTGGGCCGAACGCAACAGCGTGTTGAAGGAAATCGCGCTCACGACCAACGCAACTTCCCTAAGCGGAGTATCGACGGCGTGCCGATCACCCATCGGAGTTGGGAAACTTACTTGAGGAGAGGGGAAGCCTCTACTGACACGTGCCCACACGTGTGTGCCAACGCGACCGGAGCTTATTCCGCTTAAAGCCCAAGACCTGAATTACAAAAAAAAAGGGCAAAGTGTGCATAGTTTGCCTACCGAACCGATCAGGGGCCTTCTGATCAGGGGCCGATCAGGGGCCTTCTGATCAGTTTGCCTACCGAACCGATCAGGGGCCTTCGGATCGTGTACTGTACTGGATGTCATTCCGCCTGGACACGTCAAAGGAACGTATCTCCAGCACAATAGTTGCCTCGCTATCCATGTGGCACACGATCGGCCACCTACACATCATCTCCAAAACAGCGTGCACAGTTTTGTCGGTGGCGGTGGTGGTGGTGGTGAACATTTCGAAGCGCACATTTGTGCCTTACGTTCGGACCGCACATTTCACGCTCGTTCAAGGACATCCCCCACCTGTTGTAAGATTTGTTTGCTCCTGAGAATCTCACCCTGTCCCCTCTCGCAACAATCCAACCCAACCCAACACGCTCCTGGCTTCTCCCGTCCTATCGTACAACAAGCTCCAGCCAACGCACACCTGTGACGGTGGAATTATTGAGCACGAACAACTCATAAAGCACAGCTACCAAGAAAGTTCATCAGGAGGGGAGGGCTATGCCCAGACCTTGAAATGCGACGTTATGCGTTTTGTAGTCTACAACAGGATTCCACATTCGCAAGCAAATCATCACACGTTGTTCGTCGACCTTTTCTCGTATAGACCCTCTGCGTGACGTAGTAGCTTCAGTAGGTTCTTTTCGTGCTACGAACTTCAACTCAACGTCCATCGTTCCGAGCCTCAGCGCTTAGATACAATGCCCCTCTCGGTCAACGCAAATCCCGGCGCCGCTGCTGTCATCACGGCCTCACTCACACGAGCCGTGGAGCAACCTACTTCAGGCTCTAGGTACGTCGAGGGGGAATGGGACTCACGTGGGGATGGGAGTGGGACTTACGTCGACCATCGATCTACCAACGTATACGTTGTCGTGGGTGGTGAAGTCGACGTCTATTTGGAGCGCTTTGAGGACAAATCTGGCGCTGCGGGCTCCGCCAGCACT